AAAAACGTAAGACAATCTTCACCTTTTCCAATAGATTACAACTATGATTTACAAACTGTTTTCTCCCCTTGCAGGACCCAATAGAGTGAAGTCTTACTCTAAAATTTCTATCAAACTTACCATCACTCCCTGTCTCAGGGATTTCTTCGGATGTCCCAAAGAAACAGAGGGAGGCATTTTACTAGTTCTTCCTATGGGGAGAGGGCTGAGAACAGGTACTGCCATTAAGCACTGGGCTATGCAAACCTGGCGTATGGGAAGGAAAAGAGGAATGTTGAAAAGAAAACAGACACTGTGTACTTTTAAGTAGGAAAGGGATAAGATCAGAATTGTTTAGAAAGAGAAAGTTTTAAGAACATCTAAAATATTCCTTACTCATATTAAGCCTAGTTTTATGTTTAAATTTGGTGGGTGTTGACTGTAAAAATGTATGTTATTAAAGGCAAATAACTTTGCAAGCAACACAAGCAAACATGTTTCCTTAAGATGTACTCTATAAATCAAACAACTTTGAAATACATCATTCCTTAGTTGTGATTCTGTAGTACCTTTTAAGCATGAAGGGAAATCTGCAGATGTGTTACAGTGCTGTGGTAGCCAGCCCCCAAAATGGCCCCCCATTTACAATGGCCTCCTGCTCTTCAGGCTTTTGTGTGGCTTCTTTCCTATGAATAGGGCTGACCTTTGGAACTAAGAGATTGTTATTGAAATGATGTGTGACTTCCATGGGGCAGGCCATAAAAAGGACTGAAGCTTCTACCTTGCTCTGTCTTGCCCATTCTGGGGAGGGTAACAACCATGTTGTGAGAATGCATTAAGCAGCCTAGGGAGAGGCCCATTTGGGGAAGAACTGAGGCCTCCTGTCAACAATCAGCCCTACTGAGTTAAGTCATCTTGGAAGTGGATCCTCCCAGCCCTGGCCAAGCCTTCTGATGACTGCAACCTCCTGAGAGACTCCTGGCCAGGAGTACTCAGCCAAGTAACTGCTGAATTTCTGTACCAAAGAAACTATGAAATAATAAACATTTAGTGTTTAAAGACATTATGTTTTGGGGTAATTTATTATGCAGTAATAGATAAATAATAGAAGTACTTTGCTTTCTTTCATTGACTTACGCACAAACGTTATTTTATATTAAAAACATTTATTTATATTAAGATTTCATCTTGTATTAAAATATTCATATTCATAACTTTAGCATATGCGTTTAGACTTTCAGACATGAAACTATTAAATAAGCTTCTTATCAGGGAACTCCTTGTGTAAATCACCATGCATTACTGGCAGATTACCATAAACTTGCATTTTAAGGATGTAATGGTGACTATAAAACTGACAGACTATATTATGCTTTTCGGTTACAGAGAAAAATACTTACAGGAGAAATTTACCTTTGATTGGTTCAAAGTTTTGGCTTACATAGAGATCTTTATGGACAAATATTAAATAACTAGACAATTAAAAGCCCATTTTTGTGATTTTTAGAGGTCAGATTTTATTCAAATGTCCTTTCAAATGCAAAGAATTCAAAAATCATAATGTGTGAAAAATCTTATGTGTCATTAAATAAGTATTAAAAAACTCTCTTCCATAATTGAGGGGAAAATACTGCTTTAACAGGTACATATTTACTAAGTCAACTACACTGAAAAAAACTTGGATATAGATGATTTTTCATGATTTTATGTAGTCCACTTTTACAGTACACTTACAAAAAAGATGTTTTCTTTTATACTTCCATATACTGAGGATTACCGCTCCTTTAAAAATTACCTTGTAAAACATTTTTACAAATAAAATAGCTACTTCAAAAAAGTTCATGGACTAAATTCATGCTGTATTCTAGAAAACCTCAAGCAAAGAATTTAAAGTGGTCTCAAGTTGGTATGGCCAGATGACTACAAAAACAAAATGCTGTCTTCTTTAAACAGATTACTAGTTTGCTCTTTAAAACCTAAACCTTCATTGCCTTTACTTCCTCTAGGAGTGACCACACCATTACTTGCCCCACGTGTACTGGAAGTACTAGTTGTCTCCGCTGGATCTTACCAATTCGTCCCCTCCCAATCTCTTTTAAACCCACTCAAGTCCACTCCAAGCAAACTTTGGCCCTATCACCCTAGGAATGGCAACTTCATTCTTCCATTGCACAGGCCAGAAATCTGGGAATTATCTTTGACTCTTTTCCTCAATATCCTATCCTTCTGAATATCCTGTTAGCTTACTTCCAAATCATATCCAAAATCTGTCCACCATTTCCTCTGCTAATACTATGGTCTGAGCCACCAGCATCATGCCTGCCCAATTTACAGAAATAACCTCCTCACTCACTAGTCTTCCTGCTTTATTCTAAAAAAAATAGCTCCAGTGATTTTTTTTAAATGTAAGTTAATCCTGTTACTCTTTTACTCAACATGACTCCCCATTTCACTTAAAGCCTTGTAATGGTTTTACCTGATTTAAATCCCCTTCTCATTCCCTATAACCTGCCCCCTTGCTCACTCCACACTGGCTCCAGCCACACTGGCCCACATGCTGTTCTTCCCATCCGCAAGCTTCTGCACTAGTACCTTTTTACCGACTGTTTCTTCCATGTGGAATGCTTTTTCTTTGTGTGACCACATCTCTTGCAAATCTTTACTCAGTAAGGCCTACCCTGGTTACTGTTTAACTGCCCCCCCCCCCATTTTCTATAGTAGTGATTTTTTCACATACATGTTTATTGTATTTGTTTGCCTTCTAGCCCACCCCTTTATTGTGTGGGGTGAAGAGTCACAATGTCTGCCCCTTACTTTCAAAGGTTGGGCCAAAATAAACTTTGCATTACATAGTTTGCATTAAATAATGCATACAAGGGTTGAGATCCATTGATGGCTGTGTAGTTATTTCAGTGGGCCTGAAACAACATATACTTAAAAAACACTTAAAAATGGTTGATAAATTTTATTTAAAAAAATGAAAACATCAGAGCACATAGTTCCTAGAAAGAGTCAAATATTTCAAGAAAGTTTTATTTCAGTTCCATATGTGTGAGTACTTATGTGTACTTGGTTCCAAAGTACAATGCATTTCTTACTATCAGTCCTGGGCAAAAATTCTAGAAAGATTGCTATAAAGTTCTGTAGACACTCAACAGTTGACATGTACAAGAAAGTTCACAGCAGCATTGCTAGAGCAAGGGCTGGAACAATCCAAACGTCTAGAGATTGTAGAGTGGATACCTATAAATGTGGTATGTTAAACAATGGAATCCTTATACATCGGTGAGTGAAAGCACGTCAGAGATCTGCTTTTATGTGGATGACTCCCAAATGCAATGCTGAAAAAGGCAACGTCCTGGTGAAAAAGTGTGTTTCCACAAATAAAGCTTAAAATCAAACCAAATAAAATATGGTTTAGGGATACATACGCATGTAAAACTACAACGAAAAACAAGGGAAGGTGAGATAAAACTTAGAAAAATGATGATCACAAGCTTAAACAAAATCAACCTTAAGTTTTAAGGAACTGTAATGTTTCTCAGTATTTCCCAAATTAATGCACTTGAAAAGAGCATTCGTGTCTATTTCCTGATCTTGCCCCACCCGCACCACCACAGCTACTAGCGTAGTGTTCGGCACCTAGTTATTTTATTTTTACAGGACTAAATCATCTGATATTATTTATTTTCCGCGTAAAATATATGTCCTAAATAAGGGATACCTTTCAAGGGTAGCGAGTGACAGAGCTCCGACAATACTTCTCATGAACTGTTTGCTGGTGAATAAAAGCACTTGGGCATACGTTGGTTCATTTCAGCATTTCTCATTTTAGTTAGAATTCTTATTGTGGCTTCTGTTCAATGCCCGCCCCTCTATCCCGACCTCGAAGGCTCTAAAGTCGTTAGGCAATTGGTCACTGCAGGCAGTTTTCTCCTTGTTCTCTGCGCTGGGCAAGCAGCGTGGGAAAAGAGTGGAATGTCTGGGTTGAAGCAAGGGTGCTCCCCAGGCACTCAGATGTGTGCAGGCCGCAGTCAAGGCTGCCCCAGGGGAATGAGGCAGGCAGCAGTCCATCCTGCTGGGTTGGACCAAGCTCTGCACGCCAGGTACCGCACTCTACAAAACCAGCGACTAGCCAAATTCACGCAGTACCACCCGTGCCTCGGTGACATCATGATCGTTCCGGACTCCTGATTGGAAGATACCATTCACTCAACTTATCGCGATGATTGCTCCTTCAGGTTCCCTAGGTCCCCTCCCTTCGCCCCGATCCGGTAGTCAACAGACCACGCTGCGAGCCACGGAGGCACCACAGAACTAGACCAGCTTCCGGGATTCATCCAGACCGCTGCGACTCTTCAGACGCTCACGGGCACGAGGTTTGGCTTCCAGGCACCCTGTCTGCCAGACCCGCGGTAGCACGCGACAACATCGCTCCACTCCGCCGCTGTTGGAGCCTCAGGCGATTGATAGCAATTCCCTTCGTTTACTATCGCGAGGCTTTGGAGGTTGTAACCCCAATTTCCGGTCCCTTGGGTCTCCATGGAGACAGCGTTTTGACCACATATTACCCCCTCACCCCCAACCTGTCATTCCCTGTACTCCACGTGGTTCAGAAGTTCCCAGAGAATGTTTGTGGGAGTCAGCAGAAAGGTGTAGATGGGAGTGAAGCAGCGATAAAAAGGGAAGCAGCCAGTGCGACCCAGGAAGAATATAATTTGCTGAGCATCTTCTGGCCACTTAGGCAGTGCCTTAGGGTGGGCACGGGATAGTCCCCTACTGGGGAGGCCCAGTTCATCAGACAAACGTTTCGGCATCCATAGAACACGCATAGCCTCTTTCTGTGTAGTCTTGAAGCACTGAGCCTCTTTCTGTGTAGTCTTGAAGGTTCCAAGATCAAATTCTGCTACAAACTTGCTCACATCAGAGAATAGTCTCCCCAGTTATCTGTATCTCTATAAACTTTGTATAACAGTTTCCTAGGAATGACCCCCAATTATTCTCCTATATCTGATCATGTCATTTTTCAAGTTCTTTACAAGTTAATGCCTTTCTAGCATTGTCCCTTTTTATTACCATTTTCTCTAAGTTGTTTTTAACATTCCTTTGCTGCATCAGTTTCTTACTTTGCAAATGGACCATAAGTTCTTCACTGTCAGGACTAGATATAGTCCTAGTTATAGAGTGTACTTTAGAAACTTTTTTCGCCTTTAAAGGCATACATCCCTTCTGGAACATTTCTGACAAAGGTTTCTTAATTAGTTCATCTGTTTATTCATCAAATATTTATTAAGCACCTAAAATGTACCAACTACTGTTTTAGGAATTGAGTATTAAAACAATGGGCAAAACAGACTAAAGTTGCTGCCTACATAGTTTTTTACTAGTGGAGACAGAGAATATACAAATGAACAAGCTATTTAATTTCAGCTAGTATGCTATGAAGAAAACAAAGTAATGGCAATGATCTGTATGTAAGTAGGAGCGGTAGCATTTTTGATAGAGTGGTCATCGAAGGTGGTGATATTTGAAAAGAAATCTGAATATGAGGAGTCAGCTTTGCAAAGATCTGTTGGGACAAGCATTAACAGGCAGAGGTAGCAGAAAGTACAAAGCCCCTTATGTGGGAATGAGAGCATCAGAAAGTGCAGAACCCTTGAGATGGTAAAGAGAAGATTGATGGGAGGTGAAATGCAGAGGAAGAAAGGGCCAGATTATTTAGGGCCTTGGTGGCCAAGGTCTCAAGTTAGGATTTTATTCTAAGTGTAATTGGAAATTCTTGGAAAGTTTTAAGCAAAAGAGAGTAATTTGATTTGATTGGTGTTTTTAAAAGATTGCTTTGGTGTTTTTAAAAGATTGCTTTGATGACTATGAAAAGAATGGACTTCAGAAGCAAGGGTAAAGGTGAGGAAACCAGTTGGGAGGCTATTGCAGGAGCCAGATGAAAGGGTTCATTCAGCTTCTGATGGATATTACTATTGTTGGGAAATTCTCTGTTTAAAAGATAGCCTATTCCATAGTTGGACCATATTGTTCTTCCTGTGTATTGAGCTGCAATCTGCCTTCCTGGAGCTTGCACTGACTCTTCCTAACTCTATAGCAAGATCTTCTCTTCTTTCTCCAAAACAGTCCTGCAACAACAGCAGCTATTTTAAGGCACTTGTCTTGTCCTTGTTTTCCCAGGCCAAACATCTTTGGTTAACTGAGCTGTTCTCTGAAGAAGGTGCTCTCTAGGCCCTTCAGAAATCTGGTTATTCCTTGGAGACTTCTTCATTTGTTATGGCTCCTTAAGATATGGCTCCAAGCACTGTACTAACGCTCCACATGTTGTGTGACCTGTGGGGATGACCAAGGGATCATGCACTCCCTTGATCTGGCTGACTTCTATTGTCGTTTTTAGCAGTCCTTAAAACCTGTGGTTCTAACCTAGGATGACTTTGTTCCTCAGGGAACATTTGGAAACGTCTGGGGACAGTTTTTGGTTGTCACAACTTTGGGGGAGGAGTATACTACTGGCATCTAGGAGGTAGAGACCAGGGAGGCGTTAAACATTCTACAGTGCATAGGACAGCACCCCACAGCAAAGAACTGTGTGGTCCAGAATGTTAGTAGTGCTGAGGGTCAGAAGCCCTGCATTAGACAATGCCTTCAACTCTTCTCTCTTGCAGTGACTACTATTAGTTTTATTTAAAATGGGTGTAAAGAAGAAGAAAGAAATGCAAGTAATGGCATTGACCATTTGTCATCAGGACTTTCAAACTTTGAGAGGTAGGTGATTTCTGACTTTATTTCTTATCTAGGTTGCAAGCAGTATTTTTATCTCTGGGATCCTCTAACACATAAGAAACTCTGGCCATTCAATTTTTCCATGTTCTTTACATTCAGTTTTGATGTGAAATGGTTTTGATACAAGTTCCATCTTCAGATGAAGTTCTGCCTGTTTTTTTGTTGTTTATAAATTTAAAAAATTTTATTGAATGCATAACAAAGGCTAACTCATATCTATATATTGTTGACTCACTGAACATATTTTTATGTGTTTGTTTTGTAGCTTTGGCTGATATAGAAGGGAAAAATCTAGCTTCTTTGCTGCTACATTGTGTACAACTCACTGATGGAGTGTCACAAATCCATTATGTTAAACAGGTAAGGCTGAATTGCTACTCACGAATGCATCTTGAAGATTATCACACTGTTAAGGAGTTAAAATTTGCCTGACAACTTTTGGCTCTAATCATTTAATATTAACATATCATTAAAGAAAGATTAGGGTGTTTTTCTTTTCTGTTCATTTTGCAATACCTTCTTATTCATAGTAGCAAGCCTGTTTAGGTTTCTACCACTGTTGAGCTATATAGATAGGATAATGACATAATTGTGTATACCTTTTTTGTAGAGAAAAATTTTTTAAAATTATTTCTATTAATCTGTGTCTTCAAAATTTTTAAGCAAGCTTTTTAACGTTAAAAAGCCTATTTAAAAGATAAAGGCTGACCATACCAGTATTTCCATATTAGGATTTACCATTTCAACTTGCATAATATTTTTTTGGGAAGTGACTAAATGTACTATTGGTTTTCCAGTAGCGCTATGAAATTCCTATACTTTAAGCCATTAACAAGTCTGTAATTCTCAATAAAGGTGGGTAAAGTAGGAATTGGGGCCAAGGGTTAAAAAGGTTAAAAAATATTAAAATAGGTGTTTAAATCAATATTGTTAACAATGCAGTGTAGAAAATATATCACATTGTAATTGAGACTTGAAAGAGTATTTGAAGCCATGTTACTTTTTCATATTTGATATTAGAAAAAATTACTATGACTTGAATTTTTTGGATTCTAGATTGTGCCTTTACTGGAGAAGGCAGATAAAAATGGCACGTGTGATTCTACTATTCGAAGTTGTTTGGATATTTTAGCAGGCATTTATCTCTGTTTGAGTCTAAAGAACCCCTTGAAGAAAGTCTTGGCAAGGTAAGGAAAAAAACAGCTGGGAAGTTAGGCATTATAAATGTTCAGTTTGCCCAAAGTAATCTATATTTTAAGTTCTTTACCTGCTTTGGAAAACTGAACTGAAATATATCACTAACAATTTCATTCATATCTAGTGTGATTTGTTTTGTTATTACAACATTTTAAAAATATAAAAAGCCCTTTTGGTCACAGGCCTTAAAAAAATTAGGCTGTGAGCTATAGTTTGCTGACTCCTGGGTCAGTCCTTTTACATTTAATGCAGTTGTTGGTTTAAGTTTAAATCTCTCATCTTGCTGTTTCTTTCTCTATTTGTCCCATCTGTTCTTGGTTTGAGAATATTTTAATTACACAGGTTGCGCAGGAATAATGCTTGATGTAAAAACTTCAAGCAATAGAGAAGTAGGCAAAATAAAAAATGAACCTTTTATTTTACAATTTCTGGCCTATTTATTTTCCTTAGTAAAGGTTATCACTTCACATTTTGATATCTTTCTAGACCTTCTCTTTGGGTTTAGTGTGTCTGTTTTATTTTAGTTTGATTTTTTACATAAGCGGGGTTATACTCTACATATTGCTCTGTGGCCGTTTTTTTTCCACTAAAGAATATCTTAGAGATATTTTCATGTTAGTGTAGTCCTTATTATTTTTTTTAAAATCGTGGTTAAAAAACATATAATAAGATGTGCCATCTTAACCATTTTTGAGTGTTAAGTATGTTCACATTGTTGTGCAGAGGATCTTTAGAACTTTTTCATCTTGCAAAACTGAAACTATACCCATTAAACAACAGCTCCCTAGTTCCTCCTCCCTCTGCAGGGAATGCCTGCAGGAAGACAACCAACCACAAAATGTTTTCTTGATAATAGCTCTTTATAGATTATTTACCAAATGTATTCCTTTATTTTGTTACTTGTCTTGAAACTTTCTTCATAGTATGTTTGCTTTATAAAGATGAAAAAAATTTTTTTTGGCAACCAAACCTGCTAATATTTTTCTTTGTGTAGATTTCTGAGTTTAATGCCTTGCTCGTATAGGCTTTTTCTAATACAAGATTACATAAATTGTGTGTCATCTCTTAAGATACATTTTTTTTAACTTTTCAATCCATCTGGAGTTAACTTGTGTGTAGTGTGAGGTAGAGATGCAATTTAGTTTTCTTTTCCAAATGGAAAGCCACTTATTGTTGCCCTGTTGAATAGCCCATCTTTCCCAACTATTTGAAATACCATCTTATGTTAATAGTTCCTGTAAAAACATAGGCTTGATTTTAGACTTGGGTCTCTTTGTTTACATACCAACGGCATACTTTTATTCACTATAGTTTGGTAATGTAGTTTAATTATGTGCTAGAACAAGTCACCCTGCTGATGACTTTTTTTTTCAGAATATTACTATTGTTGAATTTTTTTTCTTCCAGAAAAGCTTTAGAACTAGTAAGTCAAATTAAAAAAAAAAAAATCTACCGATTTTGATTTAGATTCATTGAGGTTAAATTGACATTAAATTTAATTGATCTGTTCAATAAAATTTTATTGATTGCCTAATGTGTGTCAAATAATGCCCTAGGCATTGGGGATATACTGAATAAAGCAGTCTAGAATGGAGGTTACATTCTAAGAGAAAGATTGAAAACAGACAAAATAAGTAGGCAAAATATATCGGATTAGATGGTGTGAGTGCTATAGAGAAAAAGCAGAGAAGGAGGAAAGAGAGCGTCAAGGATGGGGTGAGGGTTACAATATAAAATACAGTGATCAGTTCAGGTATCTGCTCAAATGTCATTGATGAGATATTTGAGAATGACTGGAAAGGGTGAGGGAATGATTACAGGCTATACAGTATTTGAAGAACAAGTGTTCTAGGTAGAGGAAATAGCAAGAGCAAAGGCTTTGGTGTGTTGTTGGAACAGAGGAAGGTGGTGTTGCTAGAGCTTAGTGAACAAGGATCAAGATGAGACCAGAGACAGTGGTGGGGCAGCCCATGGAGGGTTTTGTAGGGCACTGTGAGTGCTTCGACCACTACTTTGAGAGGGATGTTGTATGATTTTAGGCAGAGGAGTAATACGGTGTTTTAGTAAATAACACTTTGGCTTCTCTGTTGAGGATAGTCTTGGGGAAGGGAGAGAGACGCTAGACCAGGAAGATCCAATGATAGTGGTGTGAAGTTGTAATTTTCTGGCTATATTTTGAAAGCATAGTCCAGTATTCCTTCATTTGTATGATTCTGCTTTCTCCCCACATATCTTCTCACTACAGGGTTGCCAGATTTTTAATATTTGATTCTTTTTCTAGCTCCCTTAATGGCCTACCTGAATTTTTTCTAAGTGAGGCTATACAAAGTTTTACTTCTCGTCTTCAGGAAGAATTGAATACTGCTGATCTATATTCTTATAGGAAAGTAATTGACAATATATCTTCTTGTATGGAGAACTTTAACTTGGGTAAGCCAGCTCTTTTCTAGTATTTTTCTGGTTAACACCTGTCATTATATCAGTGTTTTTAAGTGATGTTAATTTTTCTCCTGAAACTCCTTACCGGTATTCATTACCCCCTCTCCCTGCCCCCACAGGTAGAACAAGTGTTACTAATCTTCTGAAAAATGGTAAGCCCTATTTTTTAATTTTATTCTGAGAGGTGACAACTTGTATGTATCATTTTGGAGTGGTTGTTTTAAGTTTCTTGACAATGTATAAAGTACTGCAGATAACTAAAGTGTATTACGCTCTTTTAAATTTCTACTTCTATACTGTGATATCATTTAGGTAATAATGATTTAAAATATTTTCTTGTACTGAAGTTAAAGTTCACAGTTTTAAATTCTAATTTGTCATGATATTCTTTTGTTTCAGTGCTTCATTTTCTGCAGAAGAGTTTAATTGAAATCTCAGAAGAAAATAGGCAAGTGTTGCATGTTTGCATTCTTGTGTGCATGTGTGTACCCTCACAGTTGTGCATTATTATCTTTGCACAAAGGACATTTTAAAAAGGTTCCAGAATGTACTCCTTTCTATCCCTTTACATTAATATTAGACCTAATTATTTAAATTTAGTATTGATGTTTAATTTTATGAATTAAAGTTGGTATTTAGTTTATAAAGATAATATTTAATTTTAAAAAATCAAATAAATTAATGTGAGAGTAAAGGAGGAAGGGAAAAGCTTTTTTTCACCTGAGTGTTCCATTTTCATAGCATTCTGTTTTTATTTCATGGATGAAGTAGTATCCTTTGGTATCTGAGTATATTAATGATAGGTGTTTTTTTTTTTTTCTTGCTTTACATGGTTGCTTTTTTTCTTTTTGTTGCTTTTTGCCACTATATTTTTTGTTAGAAGCTTTCCTTGGAAGTCTGGTGTTCTTTGGCTGAGCATGGGCACTGAGAGTTGATTTGAATCTGTGCATTTGGTGGGGCTAATTGTAGGCTTTATTGTTGGTTAGTTTAGCTGGACTATTTTTTTGGGAAATCCCTGATGTCAGTATCTATAGGTCTGTTTGCATGGGTAACATATTTGCCATGAAAGAATCTCTCAAACTATTGGCTTAATATTCTGGTTGCTGCTCAGTGTGAGAAGAAAGCTGAGGTCTTGGCATTTGGCATTCATTGTGCATATATTTAGCTAATTCTGTTTGCAATAGTGTATCACTGCCTTATCCGTGTGTGCTGTCTTCCCATCTAGATCCTTGCTGTGTTTTGCTTTCCCTAGAGGTAAACCAGTTATTTGCTGGTTTGAGGGTTCTTATTCTTCTTTAACAAGGAAGAAGGAAGGAAGACATTTGGCCAGTCTTCCTATTCTCAGTCCTACATTTACTTCTACATCAAGGAGTAACATTTTCTTAGATTTTTGGGCAGCAAATCAGCTTGCTTTGGGGCTTATTCTCTGGCTTAGTCATCACCTTTTTTTATTTTGCCAAGTCAGTGATCACTCATCCATCTGCTATGTAGTTTCTCAGGTTTTATTGTCTGTTTGTTGCCCTGTGTATTTATGCTTTTTATGTTTTAAATTCCTTGACTCTTAGCTTAGGGAGGTTCTGAAAGTGAGTAGAAGTGATATTTGTGTGCCATGTTGAACCCAAGGTCTCTTCATGCTTTATCAGGAGCACCTTCTCTGTCTTCTTTTAGGCTCTTCTACTTTTGCTCATCTTAAATGTGGATTTTTTCCTTCTAATTCTATTTTTTCTGACAGGTTAAAATCTATCATCCATTTCTTTGGTGTGAGCCACCATCTGTATACTCAAGACTCCCAGACTTAACACTCCAAGTTAGATCTCTTCCCTGAGCAGTAGATTCTTTCATTGATTTGTCTCTTGGACATCTCAACTTAGATGTTTTACAGGTCCCTCAAATTCACTGCATCCAAAAGAAAGTTCATTGTCTTTTTATCCCTCCCCCCAATCCCTGCTGACTTCTATTTTACTTCCTGTCTCTTTGAATTTGCCTATTCTAGTTACCTCATGTAAGTAGAATACAATATTCGTCCTTTTGAGTCTAATTTATTTTACTTATGTTTTCAAGGTTTATCTGTTATATCATCTATCAGAATTTCCTTCCTTTTCATGGCTGAATAATATTCTATTGTATGTATATACCACATTTTGTTTATCCATTCATCTGTTGATGGATATTTGGGTTTATACCTTGGGCTTATATGAATAATGTTGTTATAAACATCAGTATGTAAATATCTGTTTGAGACCCTACCTTCAGTTCTTTTAGTCATATACCTAGGAGTAGAATTGCTGGATCATATGATAAATCTAAGTTTAACTTTTTGAGAAACCCCCAAACTGTTTTCCCTGACTTATGTTTTGATATTTGTTGTGTTGAGAATTGACTGAGAGGGGCAAAATTAGAAGCTGGGAGACCCGTTAGGAGGTTATTGCAGTAATCCAAGGGAGAGATGTGAGTGGCTCAGGCTGGGAGTAGCAATGGAGGTGATCTGATTCTGAATATGTTTTGAAGGCAGAATCAACAGTATTTTCTTACAAATAGGGTGAGGAGGAGAAGAGTCAAGATGATTACAGAATTTTTGTAGTGTAGAGATCCCAGCAGGTGGAGCAGGTTTGAAATTGAAGGTAAGTAGGAAGTTGCACATGTGCAAGTCTGGACTTAGAGAGAGAGATCTGGGATGGAGATTGGCAGCATGTGGGAATTGCCAGCATATGGATTATAACTTTAAAGTTTATGAGTTAGATGAGATCAACATCAAGGGATTGAATTAGATGGGCAAAAGAGGACTAAGGACTACATAGTGGAGAACTCTAGCAGGAAGGTCAGGGAGAAGAGGGTGAACTAGCCAAGGTATCGGAAGGATGGCCATGAAGTAGGAGAAAATCTAGGAGAGCCTGGCATTTGGGAAGTCAGGTGAAGAAAGTATATCAAGTTTGAAGGAGTGTTCAAGTTTATAAATTGAATCATTCTTTCTTGATTTGTTATTTTTATTCTAAAAAAGAGAAGTAGGTTAGTCATTGGCTGAGTTAGAGGGAAATGTTAAGAGTGATGAAAGTTTGCAATAAATGTCTACATAATTGAAATGTTTATGGGAATGGAAGAGAGCCATGTGTGTCTACTACAATCTAAAACTGATTTTGGCCTTTTGATAGAAGAATGTGTTTATTTTTGGTGACATACTTATTTGACTTTTCTTTTAATACTGTCTTCTTCATTGTAGAAAATTTGCTGGAAACCGTATTGTTCAAACACAGTTGATGAACGACTTGTTGGTAGGCACTAGGGTTTCAGTGATGGTAGTACAGAAAGTACAGTGTTTCCAGAGAATTCATTTGAATATTTCCAGTTCTCCCATGTGGCAGAATATGTGTGGATTGCTGGGTATTTTCACCAAGTTTTTAAGTGATGGTAAGTGTAAAGCTACACAGATGATGGCTATTATTGAGTGTCAATCAGCTTTTGCTAGTAGTAATAGCATGAACTATTTGATACTTAAGTGAGACATAGAACTTGTCCATCAGCCACTTAAAGTGGGGAAATGCCCTGGATTACAAGGTTTTAATGCTTTTTCTTTCATAATTCATCAAAGGATAATGTAGAAGGACTTTTCAAAATGTGTGCGTGTGTATTGTGTACAAAGAAGAAAATCTAACAGTCTTAGTGTTGAAACGCCACAGACTTTAAATAGCAAAAGAAAATTCTTGAGAAAAATTTCCAAATTTGGAAAGAAAATCTGGAAAGGTTAGTGTAACCCATATGTTATCTGCAAATAATGATAATAGTTATTGTGAGGCTGGTCGTCATTATTCCTCTGTATATTGCATATGTTGCTTCTATCTTTATGAGCTGTACCACTGGGAAATCTAATAGTAAATGAGAGTATCTCTTTATAAAAGTATTTCAACTACTAAATTAAAATGAAATTATAGAATGTCACCATTTTGTAACCCCCAATGAACTGATGTAAGCATTAAGCATTAACAACTGCTTACATTATAGAAATAGACAACCAGACGTGTGCTCTTCAGAGCCTTCTTTCACAACTTACCATCTTCCCAAAGGGTTTGAACTTGAGACTGACCTTGTCTCTAGATCACCTGCCAATTTATAGACATTACAGAGGACAGAGGGACATGTTGGACTGCATCAGAAAAAAATGAACGCAACATCCAAATTGTAGGAAAATTTATATCTCAAAAGGTCAGAGATCTTCCACAGGAAAATTGTAGCAGTAAGAAAGGGGTGCTGAGGGCACCAGTAGATTATAAAACATACCACATTTTTAAAAAATGAGCAAGACTAAACTATAATGTTTAGAGATGTACATTTGACTAATAAAACTTTTTCTTTTTAAATAAGAAAGTCATTACTATGAAAGTTAGGATAATGCTTACTTAGGGAGAGAGAGAGGAGCTTGTGATTGGGCTGAGGCACATGAATAAGCCTTCTGGGCTGGGTGGCTGAGTTCTGTTTTCTTGCCTTGGGTGGTAGGACAAGGATGTTTGCCTTCTAATAATTCATTTAGCTATCCATTTGTTTTGGATGGCAACAAGATCAACCAAAAAAAAGGTGATACTTAACACACTTAAGTATTTATATAAGAGGTTAAATTACCTTTTTACCCTTCAACTCCCATTCTATATGATAATGTATATATGAATATTAATATTAAAAACTCAGGGAATCTGTTCAGAGCTCTTGTTTGTAAAGAGTAGTAACTGACGCTGGTTTTGTTAGGATGGAAACAGGTAATTATTTTAAAGAAAAGGAATGTATGTGGGGGTTGGGCTGCAGGGCATCAGTGGAGGGCGGCTGGTGAAACTGCTTCACATGTTGGGAGGCAGCAGAGGGAGAGGAGCAGAGAGTGTGTGGCAGAGGGAGGGGAAGGAGTCACATTTGTGGAGAATTTATGTGCTGGGTATAAAAGCCTTCATGCTCATTATTCCTTGAAACCTTACAACAACTCCTTCAGCTGGGAGCTGTATTTTCCCTTTTTACCAGAGAGGAAGCTGAGTCCCTGGGTGGTTAAATAACTCACCCAGAGACCGTTCACCTATGAAGTGGTCAAGCCAGAAATTGTACCCAGCACATCTGACCCCACCATATCTGCCCTTTCCACTGTACCAGAATATCCATCATTTAATACATGCTCTCTACTTTTTTGCCAAATAGATGACCTCTTACAAACAATTCAGAGTACATCTGGATTAGCTGTTGTTCTTTTTATCAAGACTATGTTTCATCCTCCTGAAAAGATTCCTGATTTGGTAAGTGCATCTCCTTTTTAGAATTAGACGTTAGTGATAACAAGATACATGTTCTACAAATATTTTTAAGGACGTGAATTAAAATGTTTTTTTTCATAATATCTGAATCTCTTTGATCACTTTTTTCTCTTATGATAAGATACAGTTCCAAAAATGCAGAGAAAGCAGAAAGAAGACAATAGTTGCCTGTAACTCTCAAAGATAATCACTATTGACATTTTTTTGGTGTATATCCTTCTAGTTTTTTTCTAGTGTTTGGTTCAGTTCCCTCAGTATCATAAAAGATATTTGTAATGTTAAAATTATGCAGATGATTGTATAAATATATGCAATAATAACTTTTTTGATAAATGTGTTTTTTTTTAAAGAATAACTCAGATATTGTACTTGAGACAGGAATCATGCTAGAATTAATTGTTTGGTGAATTTGATCGTATGGAAAGTATTATTTGATAATTTGGGCCACAGTCCTTGTATTTATTACTAGAAGTTTTTTTTCCCTCTCTGTATTATCTAGAAATTTTTAGTTCTTTACCTGACTTTATGCAAAATAGATTTATACTATTTTTTGAGATCGCATGAAGTATTTATAATTAGATAAATAAAATTTTTTTCCCTCAAATCACCTCTAAAAAGCATTAGTTAAACTCAACCACCTGCAGGTGGCGATGTGTTGTGCTCTACCAGCACATTCAAATCAGCAGAATGGCTCATGTGCTTTTTAAAATTTTTTTCCTTTTTATAGTAATAATTTTAACATTCAGTTATATTTCCTAGGATGTTTCAGGGGAAAAATAATTTTTGGTTTATATTTTTAAATAACTCCGAAAAGTTTTAGAGGCCTTGTATGTAGTAACTCTGTTACCTTTTTCCAGATCAGTAGTATGCTTCTCCATTCGGTGGACTGCACCAGCGTCCCTGAGTGGTTTTTGAACTGCTGCAGAAGGCTTTGTGGTGTTGATGTCCCGCAGCCAGCTCTCTTATTCCTGTGTCAGGGGACACTCACCATGTTGGACTGGCAGAACGCGAGGATGGGTCCAAGTGGGGAGGCCCTGCTCTTGGATACTGTGCATGTTCTGTTCACCCTGAGTTCACAGTGAGTTGACACTGCTGGCTCATAGTTTGTTTTACGTGTCAGACATTTAAAAGATGGAAACTGTGCCAGCATACTTAGTAATTCAATGAAAAAAATAGGTCAGGATAATCTTGAATTAAAAGGGAGATCTCTATAGGGAAGGAAGTGGATATGAAAGAGAAAAGATAGGAGGGCATAATAGGAGAGAGAAAGAATTTTAGAAATTACTGGTACAGTTTAGCCTATAGTGAACGTTTCTAAAATTGATTTTAACATTTAGTCTCTAATGCCAGCATTTTTAAAATCTGTGAACATTTCTACACAGAGAGTTTTAGAGTTAGGAGCAACTTCACATGTCTGATATACCAGATAGGAAATTGAATTAGTTGAATGGATAAAGTGAAGCTTAGCAAAGTAAATGCTTAAACCTACGAGCATATTACTAATTAATAAGCACCTGAACCAGAACTGTAACCACGTCTTCTGACTTCATTGGATTGTATTTTGTGTTTTTATGGGGTTCTTGCCATAAAGCTTGAAAGTGATCATGTGCTTAGAATGTTATACCATAAATACAGCTTGATAGTAATGAACAGGTAGATAAAGGAAGAAAACTACCACGTACTAAAATAATTTTTACATGTCTTTCAGTTTATGTATATTTTTAATTGTGCATATTTTAAAGGAATGCAAAAATTATTCTTCGTTGTGTTATTTTGTAACAGCTTTATTGAGATATAATTTACACAGCATGCAAATCACCTATTTAAATCACCTCAGTTTTGTTTTCGTATATTCATGGGGTTGTGTAGCTGTCACCACAATCAACTTAAGAATATTTTCATTACCACCAAAAGAAACCCTATTCCCCCTAACTTTCCCCAGTCTGTGCCCCTAAGTATGTTTTAAAACACTGTGCACCCGTCATCACAACCAAAATAATGAACATTTCCATCACTCCCCAGAATTCCCTTGTGTCCCTTTTTCGATTGTTTTTTACAAGATGAAAAGATTCATATACAAATTTGAGATCTGTTTTGGACTTATTTGTATTTTTTTGTTGTAAATTTAATAGTGATTGAATTATCTGATAATTCTTTGTAACTTTACATTTTTAAAATCTAAATGATTATAAAATGAAATTTCTTATACTAGTCATTTTATGGTGATATGGCTCATTTTTCTTTAGGATCAAGGAATCAACTCTGGAAATGTTTCTGTCGAGAATTTTGGCATCATGGACTAATTCAGCCATACATGTCCTTGAGTCAAGTTCCCCAAGCCTAAGGGACAGTCTGAATGGAAATTCAAGCATAGTTAAGAGACTTTTAGAATATGTCTATACCCATTGGGAGCATCCTTTGGATGCTTTGAGACACCAAACCAAAATCATATTCAGAAATATTCTCCAAATGCACCAACTCACTATTGAAAATTCAGATTTAGCCACTGATCATTTCATAGTTGAACTGACTGAGAGTCTTCTGCGACTGGAATGGCATATTAAAGGAAAGTACACATGCCTTGGTTGTTTAGTAGATTACGTAGGAGTTGAACATATTTTGGCACTAGCTAAAACTATTCCATCGCAAATCTTAGAGGTGATGGGGGACCAGTCATTGGTACCTTATGCAAGTGACCTCTTGGAAACCATGTTTAAAAATCATAAGAGTCATTTGAAATCCCAGACTGTTGACAGTGCTTGGATTGATGAATGGCATGAGACTTGGGTTTCTCCTCTCCTTCTTATACTGTGTGAAGGAAATCTGGATCAAAAATCGTATGTGATTGATTATTACTTGCCAAAGTTATTGAATTGCAACCCAGAAAGTTTAAGCTACATGGTAAAGATTCTTCAGACTTCTGCTGATGCTAAAACTGGTAAGATAATGAATTATTTTAGTAATTTTTAGTTATGATGTTTAAGTGTAGATACCTAGGCAGATATTGACCATATTCAAATTTAAATATTACCACTTTTATAAATAGTAAAGGAGGAGATTGATGATAAGATTTCAGATTGAAACCAATGTTTCTGTACATAGCCGAATAGAGTTTTGTGGCTGAAGTTATTTCTACAAGCTAAGGATCGATTCCAGTTAAGATTATAAGGTTTCCTCTATTACTAGGTTATAATTCATTTCACCAAGTTCTTATTTGTTAGGTTGTCAAACTGGAGTAAAAGTTTGTTTTATTGAAACAGTAATTAAAACTTGATTCAGGCAAGCTTAAAGACAGGTAAATTGGCAGTAGCAAGTTTTTGTCTCTGGGAAAGACAAAAAATTTAGAGGCATGATCTCAAGAAACAACTGCCGGTAGTCAGAATAGGAGTAAGCATTCCATTGAATCTTAGTAATACTGAAAGAATCACTATATTAAAGCTTAATTCAGTAATTAACATGTAAAATGATCCTGACTCATGTAGATCTTAAAGTTACTATATTTTATTTAACAAAGCAGGAATATGGTACCCTACATCACATTTTAAGACTACTTCCAACTAAATTTAAGAACTGTCAGTACTTTAGAGAGTAACCACAAGATAGCTGGAAAAATTTGATTCCTCTACCCAAAAGTGAGCCATTGTTTGTCATTTTTAACAATAATTGTTCTTGCCTTTTTGAATAGCCATCTAAAGTTCAGGATTCATGTATCTGTTCTGAAATAGGCCATCTTAATTTTTATATCAAGGTGCCCTATATGCCTGAGCACCTTATTCCCTTAGTAATGGCTGATGTCCTAGCTTCCAAAAGCGTCAGGTTCTTTGTGATCCTTTTTTCTTCTTCTTTACTAAGGGGAAATAGTAACTCTAAAATATTCAGAGCTCAGTGTTTATTTTTAAAGAAATAATGGTCTGTAGCCACTAAAGTATTTTTCCTGCTTTGGGCTGACAGTCATTTTAGTTATGTGTATTATTTAAAATATTTTTCCACTTGACTTTTGTGCTGACTTACTTCCTGATTTATTTCTAAAGTCAAGGAAAAAGTAAAAATAATAGCAAAAAATTATAATTTCTTTATGTTAACAGCAGGAGGATTATGCCTACTTAAAATTATTGACATGAGAACTATTAAAATTATTGAAAATCCTTTTCAATAATGATTATCTTATGATAGGAACTTTTAATTCATGTTAGAATTTAGTTTGAAATATATTTATTTCTTGAAATATGATGTTAGCTGGAAGCATGAGAATTGTGGTAGTTGTTACATAGCAAAATAGTGGTCTTTGTTATTATGCTTTTGAGATGAACAATCTTTTCCATTCTTAGGGTCTTACAACAGTAGAGGGGCTCTGGGAGCTTTGATGGCATGTCTACGGACAGCTAGAGCTCATGGACATCTTCAGTCTGCAGCTGATGCCTGGGGGAACCTTGTGACCAGTGCAAGAATAAAGCAAGGCTTAATTCATCAGCACTGCCAGGTAAGTAAACAGAGTAACTGGGAATTGATACATACAGTGGATTCTTGATTCATTTATTCACTTAGCAGTCCACTATAGAGGCCCTTACATTAGGCCCAGTACTGTTTAAAGATGTCCATAAGGAGGATGAATAGAAAGCAAAAGTGTAAACCTTGCACTCAAGCTATGTAAATTTTAGTAAGGATTAAGAAAAACTGCCTAAAAACTACTGTAAACTCTTAGAAGACAATACAGATACAAGTGTGCCTTTAGGAATAAGGACTTGGGAGGTTCAAAAGAGACTAGTAGGATAGGTGGTGGTTGACTAGGGGAGTGATAAATGCAATAAAGGAAGCATTGGGATAGCATGCAAAAGAGGACACAAAGTGGATGCTGAGTAAGGGTATTGGTGGGCATGAGTGGAGTGTTTTGTCCATTTTTTGGAAGCCTCCGATGTTAAGCTGAAGACTTCAGATTTCATTTAATTGGCAACTGGTAACTGGAGCCACTCTGCCTTCAACAAGGAAGTGGAAACAGATGACTTTCCAGAGTGGGAGCAAAAACACCCCCAAGAAACCAGTGAGATGTGCATGACAGTAATCTAAGAGTGAGGTGATGAAATCCTGAGAAAAAGAGAAAAGAGAGTGAAGCTGAGCATTACCATGGAGTAAGAATCTTTAAAATTGTTGACTTTTATAAATGTGCGATTTACACATTTAATATAATAATCTTACAGGAAATAAACACAGGATCTTTGGAGTTAGGGCGACTATCTGAAGTACATGTGGATACACTGAGGTTGACTGTTTTTTTCCTTCTGCCAGCTTATGTAAATAAACATGTCAGGTGGTTTGGGCCTCATTTATTTCATTGAAAAATTAACATTTTATTGCTTGATGTGTTTTAGGTACGTCTAGATACATTAGGTTTGCTTTGTGAAAGTAATCGAAGCACAGAAATCATTTCCCCAGAAGAAATGCAGTGGATTCAATTCTTTATCACGTACAATCTTAACAATCCATCTCCAGGAGTGCGGCAGCAGATTTGTTCTCTTCTTAAAAAGGTAAATTTCTTATCAGAAATTATAGGAAAGTGGTGAACTTAGCTCTGGAAATAATTTTCAAAAGAGCCCAGATTTTGGGAGACTGGTGAGAATAATGGTCATCGGATTGGACTGCCACCTCTCTTCATAGCCCTTCTGTGAACTATTCTAGGATTCCATCAAGTCTGCATTTGGGACTAAAGTCCAGAGTGAAAAGTCCTTTCATATTGGTGTAATAAAATCAAACTTAGGCTCTTTTTTTTGAAAGAAAAAAAAATCTAGTGGTGGAGTTTTCAGGGTGTAAGATGTTGCCAAGAAAACTTTGGTAAGAGGCGGACAGATGTCCTTGTAGTTTTATAGTTTCTTTAAGTACCTCATGAAATAGTCATTATTGAATAATTCAACTTGAATTGATCACATGACCCATGTGAAGAACTGGTAGAGAATAGATGTAAGTCTATTATCTTTAGGTTCATGCTGACCTAAAGGAAATAGAATTGTGGTTTACTGACTATATTCTAGTTTGCAGTAGTATTTTGGTTTTGTCTTTAAAAATAGAAATGTTAATATTCTGCCATAAAGAAATATTAATGGGTAAATATTAATAGTTTAAAAACCAGTCTTCTCCTTGTCTGAAGTTTTAGTCCAAAGAATTTAGAAAGTTCTTCCTTGCCATGTAGGCGGACATTTAAGGTTAATGTGACTCATATATGCTTCGTTCTTTTCCTCAAAAGTTGTTTTGTAGGATACAGGAAAGTTCTCAGGTACTTTATAAGCTGGAGCAAAGTAAAGCCAAATGTGAACCAGAGAATGAGTTTACCAAACAGCACCCTTCTGTTTCTTTACAGCAATATAAGGTAGGTAATGTATTTCTAGGCATAATGGATTTTTGAGAAATCTAAAACAATTATGAATAAACCTTAAAGACTTATAAATGGAAGTCTCTTGGTGAGGAGTGTTTCTGTGTTTTTTCCTTCATGCTGGGTTTTAACATACTCCTTTTGGTGCTTTGGTATTTCTCTTGAGGTAGCACAAGTTGTGGAACCAGTGCTGGACTTGAGGTCTGTTCCAGAATAACATTAATGGATCAACCACAATAATTTATAGTTTATGTGGGCCAGATGAATTTAGTACTTTAACAAAAAGGTAATGGCCAGCCCTGAACTCCTCCACCCCATCCCAGGGTGGAAGACTGCTGTATCTGGGTCTGCTTCGCTTTAGACTAACAGGACTTACAGTGGTTTGATATTCGTGGCTCCTGGCCCATGGTCCAGCTGTGGGGGTTCCTGTCTATCCTGCTTTGGAGTGAGCTTGAAAAGAGGCCTAGGTTTCAGAGCACTGTGTTAATGTGTGGATGGAATCTCAGACATAGTAACTCTAGTCTGGGCCAGGGTTCAGCTTGACAACCTTCAAACAGAGGGTTTGCATAATGGGACAGGAGTTAGAAAACCAAATTAGGAATGATTAGTAGAGAGCTTTGAATGCTAGGCCAAGGTACCTGGGAGCCTCACTGGGAGCCATTACAAATGACTACAGCATCTGTTGAGTCCCTTTTGTGTGTGTAGGACAGTTTGCTTGGGACTAGGGATGTAAATGTATAAGTTATGGTCCCTTCCTGCATTGTGGTTATAGTCTGGTTGAGGGAAAGAACTGTATCTAAAAATAGTAATGATGCTGCAATTAGGGTATAATCATTCCTGAAGAATGAGCTTGTTACCCTTTATGTGAATACTATACTACTCATTTATAATTAAAACTAGTTTAACTAGGATATTGTTAGTAACTACCCTGTTCCTTTGAAATCAAATAGAAATAACAAACCAATAAACTCTTACTTAGGGCTTGTAGGGCCTGCAGGATAAATCCCCACTGTTGTTGGTCACTGACTGAAGAACTGAATGCAGGGATCCCATCTAGAGTCAGAGGGGACTGGGGCTGCTTATATGTTGCTTAGCTACAAATATATGTTGCAGGGGCATAGCAATATATGAGATGTTTAAGAAGCACAGCTTTCCTTGTGGTTTTTCTCTTTGGTCTTACACAGATATAAGAATATAAAAAATAATTATTGTTAGAGGAGGACTTTATAGTAGATAAAGTATTTCCCATTTTGCTTTTTTAAAATTGTATTTTACTATCAATCTTTATTTTTTATCATTTGTATAAACCAAGTTGCAGAATGGAAGTTCCAAAGGGGAAGACAGAAGACAGTGGAATAGTTAGATCTATGAAGTATGTTATAATAGCCAAATTTATTAATCAGATTTATAAAGTAGTATTAGATATTTATCAGATTTATAAAGTAGTATTAGATATTTCTGTGATCAAACTTTAAGAAGCATATATACTTTTGATACCTGAATGCCTGGGTAAGGAAAATCAATATTCATCTAACTTTAACATAAGTCAAGGCAGAACAGACCTTGTTTTCACCAAAAATACATTTTTTCTTGTGTGGACTGCCATAGGAATTGCACTGATTGTTGACTACAAAGACAGGATTTTTTAAAGACGCGATGCAGCTCATGGTCAGGAATGCCACTCTGAATCGTCAAGCAAAGTGAACAATTAATATTGTTTTTAAAAATCTTTTCTCTTAATTTAAAAATGTTTTCTCTCTTAATCTAAGAAATCTCTCTCTCGAGAAAAAAACGCCCTCTTAAAATTACCTATTGAAAATTACCTATTGTGGGTTAACTCAATTATACTTGTTATAATTTTTTTTAGAATTTCATGTCATCCATTTGCAACAGTCTTTTTGAAGCATTGTTTCCTGGTTCTTCCTACCCAACTAGATTCTCGGCTTTAACCATTTTAGGCTCAATGGCTGAGGTTTTTCCTGTCCCAGAAGGTAAGTTTCAATAGTGTTTGGGAAAAGTATTTTTTTTCTTGCAAAACCAATCCTTTTTCAACATTCTGTTTTACTTGAAGTTTCAGTTTTGTTGTCTTTTGTTTAGGTTCTTATGGGAGTTTTATACTCACTATATAATTCTTAGTTGAACCTAATTAAATTTGTCAGTAAGGGAGATAGGGAGAGAAACTGTCATCTGGGATCACTATTTGCCAAACCCAAGCTACAGTTTTCATGGATTATTTATTAGAAGAGTTGCTGCACTTACCACCCCCAGACCCCCATTCATGAATTGCTGTTTTAAGATAGTGCCCAATCTATTTAAGTTTTAAAAATTAAAAAATAATAGTTTATCTTATATATAACATTCCTCAGTGAGTCTTCGTGGTTAAAATGTGGTTTCCCTTATATGCTCTTTGTTTCGTAAGTCTCAGTCTGGTTTCAAAAAGACAATGTGAGGTTGTCACTTCCAGGCATTCTGGTTTAATGATACCCTTTGTTTCTCCTTCAGTGAGGAGCTCAAGAGGATGAACATTTAACTTCCCTCTGAGTTGGTTTTTTCTATTTTGACAAAAAATTATTCTTTTTATTCCTGTACATGATGTGTGTGTGTTTTAATGTGAATTTCTTGCTTGGTCTTAGTCTTCCTTGAAAAATACCCTGCTTAGCTGTTCTTTCAGAGGGAATGGCCCTAGGACCAGGGAGCTTTCCACTATAGTTGGAGGGTTTTTTGTTTTAATTTTTAGGCAAAGTGTAATTTTTTGGCAGGGCGGAAGAAGACAGTTATTTGTTGTTAATACAGGCTTGCTTCATTTGAAGAAAACCATTTTTTTCAAGTTTTTATTTTGAATAAATTCAAATCAACAACAAAATTTCAAGAATAGTTTCATAATGATTCATAATGATAAATTTGATCACCTGATTAAGGTAGGTGTGGTAGGCCAAAAAATGACCTCTAAAACATATCTACATTAAATTCTTAAAACTCATAAATATAAACCTTACTTAGGGGTCTTTGCAGATATGCTTAAATTAAGGACTTAAAATGAGATGATCCTGGATTATGTGGGTGGACCTAGATGCCATCATAATAAGCGTTATTATAAGAGAGAGGCAGAGGGAAATGTGACACAGAATGGGGGAGTCATTGTGACAGTGGAGGTAGAGATTGGAGTGATATGGCCACAAGCCATGGAATGCTGGCAGACACCAGAAGCTGAAAGAGACCAGGAAGGACTTCTTCCTTAGAACCCCTAGAGTGAGCATGAGCCTGTTGACACCTTGATTTTGGACTTCTGGCTTCCAATATCATGAGAAAATAGATTCTGTAGTTTTTAAGCTATCAAGTTTATGGTAACTTGTTATAGCATCTGTGGAAGATGAATACAGGAGTACCATAAGTTTAGGGAATTTCCATGGTACTACAACTGCATTTAGAAAATAAAATTTTACCTGAGAGTGATTCATTATACATTCAACAAAAGTTTTCTGTACATTTAATATAGTTATTGGTACATGGAAAATAACACTAGACTGAATTATACTGGTAATTTTTCAGTTGAGAGGGTAGTTTAATATATTTAAATATACAAGTGAAAAACCTGTCATCTTACTAATGAATGAGTCACATAATTGGGCAGTGACTAATGTCACTGTAATTATGTTACTGCAACAACTAGAAGGTAATGCAAATGTAGAAAGCCACACTATACCCATTTACTTTAAAGGAGGTTAAAGAGACTGTGACCATGAAATACAGGATGGGAAATGTAAATTCATTCTTCATCTTTATCTCAGGAACTTTAATGTGAGTTCTTATATTATTTTATTGAAGGACTGATTTGGAATTAGTCAAAATGGTTTCTGCTTTTCCTCAAGTATGTCCTAGTTCAAGAAAGCATGTTTTTCATTCAGAATAAAATGTCACAGTATTCATGATTAAAAATTGGATTCCATAATTAGATTAAAAGGGTTTGTTCAGCAAATATTTGTTTAGTGCTGCTTATATGTCAAGAAGCCAAAGATATGCAGTGTTTAAAACAAAGTGCTTACCCTTTTTGAGCTTAGACTTTAGTGAAAGGAGACAAACAATAAATTAACAAGTAATACATAGAATTTCAGGTGGAGATAAGTATTATGAAAAAGCATTCCAAGAAGAGAAGAGGGGAATATAGAGTGTCTGGGAGGGTGGGGACTACTAGCTGTTTCATGTAATATTGTCAGAGAATGTTTCAAATTTAAGCAGAGCTCTTAAACAACCAATTGGCCAAAGCAGAAATCACAGGGAAGATAGAAAATACCATAAGAGGGATGAAAACAAAAATACAATTTACCAAGACTTTTTGGAGGAGACAAAAAATAGTGCTCATGGGGAGATTTATAGCTGTAAGTGTCTACATAAAAAAAGAAGGACCTTAAATTAATAACCTGACTTTATACCTCAAGGAATTCAAAAAATAAGAGCAAACTTAGCACTCTTAATGCTAACAGAGGGAAGGAAATAATAAAGATTAGAGTGCAGATATACTCTCTATATTCATTAGAATGAAATAAAATAGAAAAACACAGAATCAACAAAACCAAAATTTGTTTTTTTAAAAGATCAACAAAATTGACAGGTTTTAGTTGTACTGAGTAAGAAAAGAAGAAAGAAGGTGTAAATAACTAAAATCAGAAATGAAAGTAGGGACATTTCTACTGACTTTACAGAAATCAAGAGGATTATAAGACAGTGCCGTGATGAAATAGACAAAGTCCCAAAACCAGAAATTACTGACCCAAGGAGAAATAGAAAATTTGGACAGACCTCTAATAAATAATGAGATGGCATTAGTAATCAATAGCATCTCAGCAAAGAAAAGTCTAGGGGGAGTAGCTTCACTGGTGAATTCTACCAAACATTTAAAGAAAAATTAATACCAATCCTTCTCAAACTCTTCCAAAAAATTGGAGAGGAGGAAACATTTCCAAACTTACTCTATAAAGCATAATCCTGATTCCAAAGCCAGACAAAGACACTACAAGAAAAGAAAATTACAGGCCATTATCCCTTATGAATATAGATGCAGAAATTCTCAACAAAATAATTGCAACCCACACCCATATTAAAACTGTTACACACCATGATAAGTAAGTGTCATTTATCCCAGGAATGCAAGAAAAAGTAGGGTAATACACCACATGATAATGATGGAAAAAAACATGGTAATCCCCATTGATACAGAAGAAACATTGACAAAATTTAACATTCTTTTATGAATAAATGAACACTTAGCAAACTAGAAATAGAAGAGAACTTCCATAATACGATAAAGGACATTGATAAAAACCACAGCTAACACCATACTCAGTGGTGAAAGACAGAAAGCATTTTCCCCTATGATCAGGAGAAGGGCACAGATACTCACTTTCACCACTGCTATTCACCGTTGTACTGCAAGTTTTAACCAGAGCAGTTAGGCAAGAAAAAGAAATTTCAAAGCATCTGTAATAGAAAAGAAGAAGCAAATTTGAGCAGAGATGTGAATAAGGTGACAAAAACAATTTGCTTGCTGTAGGAATTTCACAGGGTTATTCTAATTTGGGGATTAAGATTAAATAAGAAACTCACATCCTAATTTATATTGAACATCATTCCTCAAATTAAGCATGGGAATTTTTTTAGTTATTTTCAGGGGTTAATTTGTTAAATGTTATTAAATGTTCTTAACATTCTGCTATGAAACCTATTTGTTGTTAGTCTTAATCTTATTGAGTTAAAAGGATTCAGTGACTGCTGTCGTTCTTTTGTGATGTTTTTCTGTTCATTTCTTCATTGGCTAAAATTCATCTTTCTTTTTGAGAAGAGTATTTGGGGAAATGTGGTTCTTCTTATACATTCAAAAACTGCTTATATTGTTGTTAGTTGATACTAGAATATGATTTTGATATACAGTTTTTCATCATACCTTCTTTCCCTGAGGAGTTTGTAAGAATTGCTCAACTCTCTTCAGCATGTTCTATATGTTGCTAAGGCAAAGAGGAAGCCAGCCTAATTTTTTTCCATTTTGTAGATAAATTGAGCTTTTTTACCTGAATGGTTAAAAGATTCCTTCTTTTTCTTTGATGCCCAGTAATTCTATTAGGATATGTTATATTGATTTTTCTGTGTCAATTCAATTAAGATGTAGAATTTTGGATTCTAGGTCAAGAAGTTTTATCAAGATTAAAAAAAGTATTCCTTAATTTTTTAAAATTTGTTTATTTAAAAAAATAACTTAGAAATCTTTTATATACAACATAACCAATGAAAGAGAATAAAATGGCTTTAGAACAAAATTTTAAAAATGCTTATTTTCTATTTTCAGAAAATTTTATCATTAATGGGAAAATTATTCTTTCATGCAATTGTGAATATAGAATGAAGTGCAAGTGCAAATTTTTGTGCTTATTTTCTATAAACTTGGGCAAATAACTCCAAAATGTTGATTTCCTTTTCCTTTTATTCACTTTTAAATCTTTTTTTTTTTTTTTTAGGTGGAGTTCAAACAGTGTATCAGCTGAGTCATGATATTGACATTGGTCGTTTGGAAACATTGATAGAATGTTTTACCAGCACTTTTGAAGAAGTGAAAATCTTAGCATTTGATCTTCTAATGAAGTTACCAAAGACTATTGTACAATTTCTGGTATTTGGATTTTTCCCTGTGTAAATATAAATGTGTGTACATGAAAACTTTCTGTTTTAGCAGCGGATAAAGCAGTCTATGAATTGTCCAGGCTCTTTGCATCTGCCTTCTTGCATTTTCTGGTTGTTTCAGTTATTATTAACACCTCTACGGTTGTAGGGTCGTGGGATGGAGTTGGTGGGGATAGATAGTGGGGAAGGTGGAAATATCATAAGAGAAAATGAAGTCCAAGTCAGTGAGCTTTGTTTGCTTTTTTATTGTTCTGATAAAAAGGGAGATGTAGGAGGCAGTAGGTTTATATTTTACAAGATTATTGGTAGATTTCAGTTAACTGTGGTCATCTCTGTTCCCTTGAACATGTTAATATTCAGTTGAAAAACATCACTTACAGTAACTTGAGGTTTTTGAGATAATTTCCCTGCTTAGTAGACTGGGAAGCTGAGTGTAAGTGACATAGAGAACATGTTTCTAATCTTCTAGCAAGCAATAGCTAAAGTGAGACTGAAACTCAGAAGTACTTGAGGTTAACAGCAGTTCTCTCCTTAGGCATTCTAACCCTGCCCCAGTCCCCACTCTTCCCTGACAGCTTGCACTTCCCCCCTTGAAGTGGGATCCAAAGATGGGCTCTGGAATGAGGGCACAGCATAGGATGGGTCTGCAGAGACCCTCCTAGCCAGGTGCTCAGCTCTGCCCTTGAGGCTTATTTTGGGGCTGTAGGGTCACCAGCACAACTGTGGGGTCACTGGCTTGAGAGCTTTGCTGCGGCTTTCTGTGAGAGCTGTGTAGAGGCCAAGGGCATCTGCACAAACTGCCATTGTGGTCTGGTCTCTGGTTGTTAAGGTCTGTTTAAGGCATGACAAGCTTGTAGATGCAGTGGGATTCTGTAGGAGCACATGTCAGAGAGCACAGGGGTGTCTGTTTCCATGGCCTCCAGATGGCATTTAAGATCTCAGAGCACCTTTTCTAACTTGGGTCCGTTTTGGGAGTTGCTCTCCAGTGTCCACCTGTCCCTGTGATCTTTCAGGTACCCTGGTGAGCAGAAGCTTCTTTGGTGCTTAGGCTTCTAACTTTTGTACCATACAGAGTTTTTTAAAAAGATGTCTTCTCTTACTCTGTGGCCTTTCTCCTCTTGCACTTCTTCCTCCCCTTTGCCCTTACCATTCATCACACTGTAGCATCATATCATATACATATTTATGCCTCTTTGCTGGCAAATCTGTTGAGAGTGTCTAGAGTGGGGAAGCTATGAACACCTATATGAAAAGCCTGGGACTTTCTGTGAAGGGGCCTTATGGAACCTCTGTATCTTTAATCACTAAATATGTGTTTCGTATATAGGCACTAACTGTAGAATTCAGGTAACTTTGCACAATGGTTTGCTGTAGAATTTTTTTTTTTTTTTGAGGGGACATCTCTCATATTTATTGATCAAATGGTTGTTAACAACAATAAAATTCAGTATAGGGGGGTCAATGCTCAATGTACAATCATTAATCCATCTCAAGCCTAACTCTCGTCAGTCTCCAATCTTCTGAAGCATAACGAACAAGTTCTTACATGGTGAACGAATTCTTACATAGTGAATAAATTCTTACATGGTGAACAGTACAAGGGCATTCATCACAGAAACTTTCAGTTTTGATCATGCAATATGACCTATAAACCATCAGGTCAAATATGAATATTCATTTGATTTTTGTACTTGATTTATATGTTGATCCCACATTTCTCCTATTATTATTATTATTTTTATTTTTAATAAAATGCTGAAGTGGTAGGTAGATGCAAGATAAAGGTAGAAAACATAGTTTAGTGCTGTAAGAAGGCAAATGTAGATGATCAGATGATCAGGTGTGTGCCTATGGACTAAGTATTAATCCAGGCTAGACAAGGGCAGCAAGACATCCACGGATGCAGAAGATTTCTCTCAAAGCAGGGGGGGTGAGGTTCTGAGCCTCACCTCTGTTGATCCCCAAATTCTCACCTGATGGCCCCCCTGCGACTGTGCCTGTCTTAGGTTGTTCCTCCCTTGAGGAATCTTACCCGTCTCTGGCTAACCAGTCNACGTTTTTTGAATGCTAACTCAATCTAAGGACTTGTATATACATACTTTTGATGACATATCTTTCCAATACATGGTTTTACTGCTCATCTAGTTTATTGCTTTTTTTTCTTGTGAAGCAACATACCCAAGATCTTTCTGTTATATTTTGATTGACCTTATATGATAGAACAAAGGTATTTTAGACTCTAAAGGCTATTTATTATGTTTCTTACTAATTGGTTAATTAAGCAATTCAGGCATTTAACTATAAGCTACTAAAAAAAGTCTAGATGCTTGATTGGTTCTTTCTAATATTTTTTTAGATTTGAGCCTTTGACCACTATTTTTAAGTTTTTTAGGTGATAGAAAATCAAAGATATCAAATGCCAAAGAGTTTAAGTTGAAAGAAATTGATATTTGAGTCAGTACATTTGATGTGTATTATTTGAAATTATAAGACATCATTAAATATTAGTATACCTATAATCAAGTTCAAAATTAAGTTTTTAATGATATTTTTCCCTTATATTAGATAGTTATGAAATAATCCTAGTAGAATCCAATATTACTTAGCAACAAAACCCCAAGTTCCAGTGTGGTGAACCTGCAGTTTGTCAGTTGTAGAGTTGGGACTAAGACCCATGTCTCCTGTCTTTAGCCCTCCATTGCATAGTACAGTGACCTGTCCTTTGTTCTGGCTTCTTTTAGGGTAGGTTATATGAGTGGATGTTATATGAGATACAGGCATGGGAATTCTGATACAGAACTTCTGAGGCTGATCTATTTACTTTGTTATTCTGCACATATACATGGAGCTTCACCAGGAATAGCCTGATGGGTTTTTATTTTTGTATGGAGTTGTATTTTTCTCCATTAACTAGCTGTATGGCATAGGGAAGGGAGAAGGGCAGGAGTATGACCCACAGATATACAAATCTTGATGTACAAAAGAACTCTGGTCTATACAGAAATAACAGATGGCTTGGCTGTAGTCATAGCAGAATTTCTACATGAAAAAGTATACTTTTGTGGAAGAAAGAGGTACTTTTTAGTTTCTCAACTGAAATTATTTTCAAGACCCTCATCACTCAAACTGATTAATAATAAACATTAATTACTATAATAAAAAGTCTAACCTCTATTCAGGGAGTAGAGAAGGGGAATTGAATTAATGTTCATTTTGAGTTTCAGTTATGTGTCAGGCTTTGTTTTTAAATATGTGCTGTTCCTTCAAGTTAAAGAAATGTTTCAGTGATAGTTACTGCGTCTGTGCTTTGTTCTAGGATTCAGAGAAATTGCAAGGCTTATTCCAGGCAGCACTGGAGCTCAGCAAAAGCACCAAGCCATATGACTGTGTAACAGCCTCCTACCTGCTGAACTTCTTAATCTGGCAGAATGCTCTGCCGTCATCTCTATCTGCCTACCTAAAAACTCAGCAAGTTGCATGTGAAGATGGAGATAAGTCTGCTGCTATGGTGGAAAGGAACACATTAATGGGTTTGTGTTGAGTAAACAATGTTTTGCTCTTATTTATCAAAACCAGTATCTTATTCTCACTATTCATTAGGCTAGAATATGTAATGGTTAAACATTTGCTTTGTGTTTTTTTTTTAATTTAAAAGTTTACCAGCATATAGGAATACCATGCATTCCTCTTATGCGAATAGCTTACTCAGCTATTAACACTTGTTTCTAAATGGAGGAGTCATGTTAAATAAGTAGATATACAATTGTGCATTAATGAAGCTTTTATTTAAGTAGGACTTTTTTCTCTACCAAAAATGTACTGGTTTTTTTTGTTTGTTTTTTTGCTGAAATGTTACTGTGATGATAGGTCATCTGTATTATTTCTACATAGAGCAGAGTTCCTTTGTCTGTTGGGGTTTATGTTCAACTGGCTGTCATACCCCCTGCCTTTCACTCTTCTCATACAGCTATTTCCAAAACCCAGGCTCTGAGTTGGTCTAGACCTAGTAATTTTCAAGAAATATTTGTATTTAATTGTATTTAATGTATTTAATTGTATGCTAGTAAATCTTCAGTTTGAAATTGTACTATGACTAAAGAAAGATACCAATTTTTATTAAAAAAAGAAGAGAGAGATCAGATATATAATGAGAGTTGAAAATTATTCTCTCCAAGATAGTAGGAAAGCCACACAAAAGATAACTAATGATGGGTAGTTCTAGTAGGAATGTGACCACAGATCTGGGATTAGAGAGATTATAGTACCAAGGGAAATGACACTTGCCCATTGTAATTGCTTCAGGGCTGAGTTTGAAAGGAGATGCTGATGATAGAAAGAGGTCTGCAGTTGGGGTGAACTTGGGAGTTCATGCTTTATGTAAAGGCTTTCAAATTCAAGACATTTAAAAATTTATGACATTTCAAACATATAAAGAATATTTTAATAAATAGTAATAACATAAAAGCTTTACAAGTCTTGTTCCCAAGTTAGGTGTTAACACCCAGTTTAAGAAGTCCAATAGCAGCTATACTTTTGAATCCTCTCCTTTATCCTCTCTCCCTCCCTCCACCATGTAATTACTGTCTTCTGTTTCATATTAATCTTTCATTTTATTCATCTTGTTTCATCAATATTTTACCACTTCTGTGTATATCATTAACCAATATATTATTTACTTTTATATGGTTTTGAATTTTATATAAATAGTACTATGTATATTATGCAAATTTACTATAATTTATTAATGCATTCTTCTGTTGATGGACTTTTTTTCCTAAATAAATAATCCCAACATGTGCATTCTCATATATATCTTCTAATGGACATGTCCAAGAGTTTATGATAAACAAAAAAGTAGAATAGCCTAGTCATAAAGTATATGAATCTTTAGTTTTACTAGATGATGCCAAATAGATTTCAAATTATACTCACCAATAAATTATGAGAGTTATGGTTTGTCACATCATCACCATAACTTGCTATTGTCAGTTTTTTAAATTTCCAGAATATAAAATGAAATCTCATTGTGGCTTCATCTTGCATTTTTCTGATTGCTGATGTAATTAGGCATCTTTTTTTTTTTTACATGTTTATAAACTATTCACTTCTCCCCTTCTAACAATGCCTGTTCATTTTTTCAGTTTTCTGTGGGGTTGTCTTTTTCCTATTGACTTTTAGGTCTTTGTATAGTCTAAATATTAATAATTTACTGGTTATACACAATTCTAAAATTTTAAATATAACCCTCTTCTTCTCAGTGGTTAGGGGAGACATCTACTATGCTGGGATAACTGGATACCCACATGCCAAAGAATGAAGTTGGACCCACCACCTCATACTATATACAAAATGGATCAGAGATCTAAATGCAAGATCTAAAACAATAAAACTCTTAGAAGAAAACACAAGTATAAATCTTTGTGATCTTGGGTTGGGTAATGATTTAGATATGACACCCAAAGCACAAGCAACAAAAGAAAATATAGATAAATCGAAAGTTTCACCTTCAAGAAAGTGAAAAGACAACCTGCAAAATGGGAAAAATATTTGCAAATCCTTTGTCTTATAAAGGACTTGTATCTAGAATATATAAAGAACTTTCATAGCTCAATAATAAAAGGATATAATGAAATTAAAAAATAGACAAAGAATCTGAGTAGACATTTCTCAAAAAAAAAAGATAAATAAAAATAAAAAGCATATAAAAAGATGCTCAATCAACATTAGCCATTAGGAAAATGCATATCAAAATCACTATGAAGAAATACTTCACACCCAGTGAGATGGCTGTAATAAAAAAAAAAGATAAGTGTTGATGAGGACATGGAGAAGGTGGATCCCTCATGTATGGCTGGTGGGAATGTAAAATGGTACAGCCATGTTGGAAAACAGTCCAGCAGTTCCTCAAAAAGTTAAACATAGAGTTACCATATGACTTCCCAATTCCACTCTTAGGCATTGTGTTAGCTCAGGTTGCTTTAACAACGTGTCATAAACTTGGTGGCTTAAAAAACAGACATTTATATCTCATAATTCTGGAGGCTGGAAAGTTCAAGATTAAGGTGCTTTTAGATTTGCTTCCTGGTGAGAACCTTCTTGACTTGCAGACATCAGCCTTCTAATTCTGCTCACATGGAGGAGAGAAAGGGCAAGTTCTGGTCTCTGTTCCTTTTATATGGACACAAATCCCATCATGGGGATCTCACATTCATGACCTCATCTAAACCTAATTATTTCTTAAAGACACCTTCAAATACCATCACATTGGGGGTTAGGGCTTCAATGTGAATTTTGTGAGGGTGGACACCAACCTTCAGTCTGTAACAGGCATATACTTAAGAGAAATGAGAACTATGGCCAAACAAAAACTTGTACATGAACATTCATAGCAGCATTCTTCTTAATAGCCAACAAGTGGAAACAACTTACATGTCCACTCACTGATAAATTTAGAGAAGTTATCTCTAAAGTAAAATGTGGTATATCCATACAATGGACTAGCAGTCAGCCGTAAAAATGAATTGTTACATGCTACAACATGAATGAACTTTGAAAACATTATGCGAAGTAAAAGAAACTACTTTCTTGTATGATTATGTTTATATGATATGTCCAGAATAGGTGAAGCTATAGAGACAGAAAATAGATGATTGGTTGTCTTGGGCTGGAGAAGGTGAGAGGTGCAGGGAGGAGAGCGACTGATAATGGGTGAGGGGTTTTTAATGGGGAAGGCTGAAAATACTTTAAAATGTGAAGCTTGCACATATGTGTGAATGTACTAAAAACCATTGACTAGTACACTTTAAATGTGTAAATTGTATGGTATGTGAGTTATAGCTCAGTAAAACCACTATTAAAAAAATCCGTCCAAATAGCATATTGGCACATGGCCCTGGAGTATGATACCCCAAATAGAGGACGTCTAGGAGGAATGATTCAAAGTGAATTCTGTAAGTGAATGCAAGACATTAGGGAAAGCTAGTTCTGCCATCCTGGAAATGGATAACAGGCTGGATAACCTGGAAAGATCTCTCTTTTTTAAATTTAAAACCTTTAGTATAAAGTTTGGTTGAGTTGGCTATTTTCATGGAACTGTTTTGCTGTTCACAAATTTATAAAAGTGTTTTTAAACTGGCATTACTTTGTTTTTTTTTGGTTTGTTTTTTCTAGTTATTGAATGCTTGTTAGAAAATCTTGAAGAAGAAATATCTCAGGCTGAAAATTCTCTGCTTCAGGCAGCAGCATCATTTCCAATGTATGGGCGAGTCCACTGTATAACAGGAGCTTTGCAGAAGTTATCTCTAAAGTAAGTATATCCAAGCCCTCTCCTGAACACTCATTTTTGAGCTTTAAACTCTTTATTGGAATGTGTCCTGAGAAAGGAATATATTGTCTTAAAGATAATTAAAAATTAGATTTTAAATGTACATATACATGTATGTTTCATGTCTTAAATACTTCAATCTTGAAACCCAAAATTCTTTTCAACTCCTCTTATCAATTTCCACTTAAAACCTTTGATTGTTTGCTTTTAGTATTATTTCCCCTAACATCTTTGTTGCAGCAGCCTGCAGTTTGCAAATGAATGGCGACCTATGGTGGAGAAGCTCCTTCTGACGTCCTATAGGCTTTCTGCTGTGGTGTCTCCAGTCATTCAGAGCTCCTCCCCAGAAGGCCTCATCCCAATGGACACTGACTCAGGTCAGCAAATGAAGAAAGCTAGAATATTATATTTATCTTTCCCATACCCTAGTCATTTCTTTGGGGAGATCCAAAATCTAAATAGGGGGAAAGAAATTATAACGATCAATGTTATTTCTGCTTTTTTAGTAATATTTTTAACTATTAAAAAATAGCCTAAATAAGTAAATAAATAATGAGGTGATCAGCAAGGTACTTCCATAAACTAGAGAGGTGGGCAGCTGATGGAGTTCAGTGAGAGAAAGCAACTTGTTAGGAATCTGGAATGGGCAAAGACCGTTTAATTAAAACAAAATGAGACGAAATACTCAAACTGCCCCTAACTAAACTCATACCTTTTCCCTCCTAACCCCTGTGCGCTGTCCAATGGCCCTACCAAAGATCTCTATGCAAGCGTGGAGCCCAGAGCTCCGTGACCTCTCTTTTACTCCTTTTACCTAGCCTGTTGCCACATCCTTTCAGTGGTACCCCTTAAATATCTTTGAAACCTCCTTTCTTTTTATGTGCATCTTCTTACCTTACTGCAGGCTTTCATCCCCTCTTGTTCCGACTGCTCCAGGGGCCTCCCGACTGGTTTCTCTGCATCTACTCTTATCTCCTTCCAATTCCTTTTTACTACCTCCAAAGTAATCTTTTCTAATCATGTAATTCATCATGTTACACATCATCTTGAATTAAGACTTGTGCCCTGCCCCTTCCCTGTTTATTTAAAATGCTTTAGTGATCTCAGACCAGATCCTGATACAGTTTGACTTCTCCCTTGTCAGTTTTGTCTCCTCTCTTCTTCCCGTAGAGTTCTCCTTCATGGAGTAGTTGCAGTTTAATCAGTTTTCCTCCCTTGTGCTTACCATAGTACCTGGTAGAAGTAGGTATACAGTAAATATTTGTTATAATCAATCAATCAATCAATGAATAATTCCTGAAAGGGTAGGAGCTAGACTCAATGCCTGGATGCTCTGGGTGGCATATATATACTGTACTACAGCAGGCCAGAAGGTATTAGCTGTTCAAGGTATATACTAACATGTGTTTCTTTGAACACCTACAAAATCATGGAGTAATTTACATTTGGTATTGATAAAGTTTGTGAATGCATTTTGGAATGCAAATGAGAGGCTTGTATTAAAAACATACTGAGTGTATCATAAACACACTGTCATATGACATATCTTGGGCTGATAATTTTTTTTTTAGTATTCATTTTTTTTTAATCTACTGACTTTTTTTTTTAAGGTATCATTGACATACAATCTTATGCTCAGGTTTCACATGAGCAACATTGTGGTTATGATATTCCCCCTATTATCAAGTCCCCACCACATACCCCATTACAGTCACTGTCCATCAGCAAAGTAAGATGCTATAGAGTCACTACTTGTCTTCACTGTGCTATACTTCCTTTTCTTGGGCTGATAATTAGATAACCTGGAATTCTGTGTCTGAATGGAAAATGCTAGGTTTTGTTTACTAAAAATGAGATGGAAAATTGTTGATGGTTCATAATACTAAGATTGTTGTCTTAGTATTTATTTTTTTGGCTGATAGTCTAACTACCCAAGCTTTTTACACTTAAACAATACATGGCAATGAGGAACATCCAGTTTCATAGTTAATATTTGGATCAGGCAAAAGTAGCAGTAGATTCTAGATGAGAAATCCTGAATGCTTGTTTAGAAAATCTTGAAGAAGAAATATCTCTGGCTGAAAATCCTGTGCTTCAGGCTGCTGCATCATTTCCAATGTGTGATTACCTATTGTGGGTAGGCCTGCAAAGTGTGCTAACATTCTGTTTGTTATTAAAGTTTTAAAATACTTGTTGGTCTGAAAACCTGTTGATGGGCCACAGACATTGTCTTAATTTTGCCTTTTCTTTTTCCTCTGGTTATCTCCATTTTTCTTGTTTCTTTCCCATGTTATCCACCATGCTTTCTGAATTCCTTGAAAAAAGTCTCCACTGAAAGCCATAAAAATGAATAGGTAGGGTTCTTAAAGTTTTATTCTGATCATCCTTTTTTCTTAGTCTTTCCATGGTTTCTTTTTGGAGCCAAGTGTTACTTTTCGTGGCTGTCAAAATCTGTTTTTAGCAAAATTTCATGGAAGCCACAAGTAAACATAAGATGTTGATTGAATCATTGTAATAGTTTTCATCTTTGAATTTCCCATAATACCTAAAATATAAGTGTATATAATAGGTATACAGTAAATACCTGTTCTTTGATTTGTTAATAGGTTTCAGATGATTACATGTTCATATTTTCTTAAAAAATCAGCCTGGCTAGCTCTGTATTACCTTGTTATCTATTCATTACATCAGCCCATGCTACTGAACCTCTGCCTTGAGCCAGTTTCTGTTCTAGGCACTGGCGACTAGTAAGTAGTGAACAGACAGATAACGTATTGCTTTCATGGAGTTCACATTTCCTAATCCAGTGAGTGCTAAGGGAATAAAATGAAGTTTCATATAATACTAGGACTGTAATTCATACTTAGAAAGCAGTATATTATATAATGTATTTCAAAGTTAAATATGGAGTCTTTATGATAGTCCTGGGCTATAAGAGATTATTTTTGTTGTTGGAGTTTCTCACCTCATAAAACAAAATTTATCTAAGTTTTTCTTCTTTCATGTGATTGAACACCTTATTTGAGATTCTTAGACAACACTAAGAGAAGTTATGTAACTTAGAGAGAAACTCATGCCTTTTTCCTCCTAACCCCTATGGATAGTTTCTGTAGTGTTTTTTTTCACCCTACCTTCAACCTATTGAGAATATTTGCCATATTTAAAAAGTATACTGTAGTATACTTCTTATACTAGGTAGTATATTAAAAATGCTATATTATATTAAAATACTGTATTATATTAAATAGTATTATGTTATGCTAATATAATATATATTATACTAATATCATTATTATATTATATTAAATAGTATATTAAAAATACTAGTGTACAAATACTTTATCCTCACTGTATTGGTGAGTCCCTTCTAATAGAGCTGATAATTGAGTATTAAAAATTACAAAATTTTTGAAGGTAAATTATCTTAAGGTAGATCTGCATATGATATGGAACTCTGAGATCTTATACAATCTCAACTCTCTTCTTCAGAGTCAGCAAGCCGCTTACAGACAATTTTGAATGAGATTCAACCACGAGATACTAATGATTACTTCAATCAAGCCAAAATACTGAAAGAACGTGATAGTTTTGATTTGAAAGACTTGAATGCAAGTGTACGGAGTATTGATACTTCTGCAGAAAGCAAAGGTAGTACGTGTAAAATCAATATTGGAATACTATAATCAGTGTTTAAGTGACAGTGTATACAAAATGCTCTTTTTTATAATAAATCAGAGTCTGTACATGTGTGTAGAACATTTCTAGAAAGTAAAGTACTTTTTGAACTTATAAATGATTTATTTTGGGGAATGCATTTATAACTTTATGGTGTGCCCCAGTGCAGTATATAAGGTGTCATAACAAAAAGCCTTTGAGTGCTAAACCTGACTTGACAGGCAGGTGACATAAGAGCTGTGATGCACAGTGAACTTGGGTTTGGGCAGCCATCAGCTTCTCCCAGCAGTACAGCTCTTTGCTGTCTGCGGTCCATCCTTATAATCAAGCAGCCTTTTAGAGGAAACAAACCTTACTGCTCAGTAAAATGTGAGCTGCTCTGTTGTACCAACCCTCCAGAAGGTTGTTATTTTATAATTTTCTATAATGCTATAAAAAGTCATCAGAAACACTAATATCTTAGTGATTTATTACATATTCTACCTTCTCCACTAGATGGAGATATTGTCTTGTATAATTTCTCTGTAATATTTTTCTTTTAAATTACATAAAATAACGTGCTTATTATAATAGTTTCAAACAATATAGAGGTAAATATGAATTAAAAACAAATTAAAGTACTCCTGCATTTCCTCTCCAGTCCCACCTCATCCTTTCAGAGTGTATATCCTTTAGACCTATTCCATATATTTATGTTTATGTATATTTACCTTTTACTTTAGTGGGCCTTTAAAAAACACAAATGTGATTACATTGTAAATACTGTTTTGTTAACTTGCCTTTTAAATTTAATACTTTGTCTGGATTTTTTTTTAATGTTAGTACTAAAATATTCCTAAAATTAGAAAAAGAGAGTAAGGATAATTATAGCTTATTGGCCATGGAATTCAAATCTATTTTGAAAAAGAATTTGTATTTTCTTTTAATTTAAAATTTCTATCCTACTCCTTTACTGATATAACTACCACCAAAATAAGTAATGGTATATTTGTTATAGTCATATTTTATGGATAACTGAGAGGCAGTGTTTGTTTCATTAATTCCCAAAGATTAGAGTAAAGTTTTGAGGCAATATTATGTTTTATTTGAAAACTTATTACAAAAATAGTATATTGAAAAGTACTTAGCATGTTTCCTACTTGTAGCACATGCTTAACAAATGTTAGTTATTTTCTCCTGAATAAATGTGTGACAAATGGTTTGTTTTCAAGCAGATTATTCTTGGGGAAATTATAAATAAGCTTGTTCTGAGAAACCTGGATGTGAGTAATCAAGTGTCTAGTGTTGCAATAGATTTTTTTTTTTAAGGTAAAGAAGGAAAAACATGTGATGTGACTGCTCAGATGGTGCTGGTATGTTGTTGGAGAAGTATGAAGGAAGTTGCTTTACTTTTAGGCACACTGTGCCAGCTTCTACCCATGCAGTCTGCGCCAGAATCTCCTGATGGATTACTGACAGTGGAGCAGGTAGGGTAGATGTTTATTCTACCTGGTGTAATTTTTGGTCAAATCATAAATTGCAAACTTTCATTTATAACCAACTCAATTTTTTAAAAAGAGTCTTGAATTGTTCTTGAAAAAAAATCATACAAATGTCAACTGAAGAAAGTTCATGGTAGATTAGGAATTGGACATTGCAAAATGTGTCAAAACTATAAGATTTTTTGAAATATTTTTATTTTTTTTTAAGTTCTATGAATAACTATAGATTTTACCTCAGTTTTAACTTCACTATTATTTTAATTCTTATTTCTCCTCTTAGCACATACAAATTTAAAATTTAAATGAAATTGTCTAGGGAAACTCCACAAACCTCCTAAGCTTTGCAAAGAAAACAAGTATGTTGACTATGAATCTCTTGTTTCCTACTACATTGATGATAAAGTTGTAGTCACTTTGGTTTTTTTTTTTTTACTTTTTTGACTTTTATTTTATGACCACAAAGTTAGTTCACCATCTGGGACTGTTCAAGTGACTTGAATGCAGTGTTTACAAGAAATTAGCTTACCACAAGCATTTCGTTTGGAAATATTTTAGATTTATTAGATTTCTGTTTCTAATTGATTCCCTCTTCCTTTCCATATGGTTTCAACAAGTCCATTTCCCACCATTGTCCAGCAAAGGTATTATAACATGTACTTTCATTTTTAACCTTTTCAGTAAAGATAATTTTTCCCCTAGGGTGTTACAACATCTAAGAACAAAAGAAAATTGTAGTACGCTAATGCTGATTATTTCTATAATAACCATGTGACTCGTTCCATGGAAATAATACTGATATTTTTATTTTCACACTCACTGTGGCTCATGTGCTTACATCTGGTTAACAGCTGGGCTGTGATGTTGCAAGGCCCAAAGATGAAGAACGGCAAAGGGGAACAGCACACTGCCGGCATCATTGTGTTCCTTATTCTCTTCCAAATCAAATAGGCGTTAGTGTCCTAGAGTTACTTGCAGTCATTGCTGTGACTACTGTGGTGCCAATGCCAACATCTTTCCTGAGGAATCCAGCTATGATTAATGATTACTTCACTGATGGTCACCATCTCACTAAGAAGTAAACATGTGCTCGAGTCCCTTGACTTCTCAACTTCTTTTCAAGTACAGGTTAAAACACTTAGTGTTTTTGGGTTTGTTGGATAATGTTTTAAAAAAAAAACTTAAGGGGAGCATATTTTGCTTTTACTGTAACTGAGAAAGACGTGAAAGCTTCCTATGAAAATCATTTTGCTTTGATACCTTTGCATAAGTGCACCCAACTTTTATGAATTTAATTTATGTGGAATAACATGTTAAGATTGGAATTAATATAAAATAAAAAAGGTGTTTGCTAAAGAAAAAAGCAGTAACTAACAGAGGCTGTGTAAAGCACTCTACTGATGATTGGTTTCTTGAATAAAAAATAGAACACCGTTTTCCTGTAAAACATTAGTTTCTGTTTTAATGAGGTTCAATCATTTCTCCATGTTGCCATTCACGTGGTGACCTCACATGTATAGGTTGTGAAGAAATTAACGACGGAATGAGCCATCAAGGATGTATGTGATAGTACTGTTCTGACTGAAACTCTGCCCTCTGTGGAAACCTTTATTCTCGATCATGTTGTCTTTAAAGAAATGCCTCAGTTTAGGAACATTTAGTGAAAGAAAATCCAAAGTCATAAAGAAATTAGTATTTTTCATAAGAAAATCCAAAGTCATAAAGAAATTAGTATTTTTCATATTACTAGAGAATTCCTGCACTTAAATGTAAAATTTTGTTCCATGATATTCCTTTGAATTAAAAATAATCCCATAAGCTTAAAATTTTTAAGAGTTAAAAATACAAATGACAGAGAAGAATGTCATTTACATTGGAGTGGTGGGGCCATGTCTGAGGTCCCCCTTCTTCCAAGGGCATGGTACTAGATCTTCTGTGCACCTAGCGGCAAAACTAAAAATTTAAACCTTAGATGAGGGTGACCATACCAGGCCAGTAGAGACAAGGGCAGTGAAGGGTCTTATAGGCAGAATGTGACCCATTGTTGGGGGAAAATGTTGAACTCTTACTTCCAAGAGTAATAACTGTGATCTCCTTTTCTCTGAATGTATGAAAGAGGCTGTTCCATCCGACCTAAACACTGATGTGAAGCCTGATGCTTCTTTTAGTCTCTACTCACCCTTCACTCTTGAAAAACTAGTGTAACTCTACTATAATTTGAAATTGGATATCTCAAATGTAAATAGCAGGGAAGAATTCTTTTGTAGCCTAGTCCCTTTAAGTCCATCTTGATTCTACAGCTCTTTGTAAAAAGGGGTAACTACTTAAATCCCACATGCATGAGTGTAATTTATAACAGGTCAGCAGTTAGGGAGATGACAATTTGGGAATTTTTGTTGCCATACAAGGAGAAGAACTGGTGCTTGTTTACAATTCTGAGTATTCAGTTCTATATTCGCAAACTATTAGAGCTGGAAGGATCACAGAGATGATATTATCCAGCTCCCCTGTAGAAGGGGAAACTGAAGCCCTTGGATATTACCTGGTTTGCCCAAGATCACAAAGCTGGTTTGTGGCAGCTCTGGGACAGGAACCCAATTCTTCTTTCCAGCCTGTGTTCTGACATGGCACAGTGCTGCCTTTGTTCTGCACTGTGCATTTAATTTTTCTTTAAATTTAATTTTCCCTACTTCCCATACCCAACCAAATTTTTGCAGGCAACAGGGACAGTAAGGCAACTCACCACTGAACTTTTTAGCAAATGATCCATTTTCCTAAATCACTTCTTGTGAAACAGTATGTCCCTCCGTGGCTTCATCAGGAGGAAAGTGTATTCATTCAGAGGCATGTCTGAGTTTCCTCCTGCGAAGTAATCATGTAATGAAAGGTTCTTTCATAATATCCCTGTACAAGAGGCACAGATAAAACCAGCTTTGAGGGATGTAAGTCGAGACCCTTAAAGAGTGAGCAGTATGCAACCTTATCTCACAACTTCCTGACTGGGGTGTGTCTAGGTTTCAAGCTGGATGTTTTGCTGATGTAGAGGTTTTTGCTTGATATATTTCATTGGTTCTTGTTCCATGGGATATTGGATTCTCAGTGCCTAATTTTTTTAAACAACTTCCTCTACCTGGAGAAACAATTCATATATTATTTCCCCTGATATTCCTAAAAAGCTTTACCATAGATTTTTCTTATCTGCTTTTCCCTTCCTAGTAATTATTGCTACAGAAATCACATGAATAAAAATAATTACCAACTATTTGAAAGTAGGTATTTAAAAAAATTCCTACCTTAGATTTTGTTGTACTTTTTATAATGCAAATGGCTAACTAATTAGGTTGATCCATTCCAAGTATCTTTGTTACTGTTTTAAATTTTCTGTAATGGACTACAAAGTGGGATGTACATTATTAACATTCATAAGTGTTAAAGAAATTGCCTTTTGTATTCAATTTGCCAAGATTTTTTTAAAAGAAGTTATAAGTATTCATTGAATTGTACTGAATGGAGGTTACCATTTTTAAGCTTTAAATGAAGTTAAATGCATCATTTAGTCACCTATCTATTGACTGCCTTACTACAAGGGTGTTATGAGGACATAAAGAAATATAATATGTTGTTCTCTGACTGCAAAGAACTTAGAAATATTATATGCAATACAAGACAGAAATTCATTTAAAAAAGTCAGATGAAAGGAAAATAGTTAAAATGGCACATGATTATGAATTTGCTAGAAAGCAAAGAATAAACATTCTGGTAAGATGTTTGAATACTAGAAAGTTATTATCTTTGTTGTTATTATGTAGGAGAACAATGTTTGGGCTTTGAGGAAATCCCAAGTGTTAGGAAGAAGTCACTGCAGCAGAGAATGTACAATGTGAAATGTTAATTATCTTGCTGTTGTGTAAACTTTTATAAATGTTCATTTAACCAAAGTGGAATTAGAAATTCCTAACTGCCGACATTCCTAAAGTTATAAGAAGTGGCTGTGTCTTAAAGTCAAAATTTAAATTAAAGTTTAGGAATACAAATTGAAAACGAACATGGCATGTATTATTATTTGCTAGTCTATTAAATGCTTATATGTGTAATCTCATCTGTTTCTCAGACTATTCCTGTGAAGTAAATTCCAGTTTTATCCCATTTCACAGGTGAGGGAACTGTATTGCTTAATTAGCTTGTGTTAGCAAGGAAGCCAAGTACTTCTGAACTCAGCCCTCTGGCTCCAGTCTCAGGTCTTTACCACTCTAAGCACATGCTCTGTGTAGAGATGTCACACCTGTGTTTAAATACTCTTGGGTTCACCTAATTTATAATGAGTGAAATTAGCCTTGATTTTTTTTACTGCATTTCTACCGTATAGAGAAAAAAACAAATTAAAAATGTATTTACATTTGTCCTTTGTGGGTTTAATGCTCTAGGGTGAGTATTTAACTCCCCAAATTAGTCTTCTGGTGAATTGTAGATGCCTAGAGACATGCACGTAGCTGTCCGCCCTTGTGGAAATGTACACCCTGTAAATCCATAAAACATGCTAATTTCTCTGTAGAAGTAGGTTTTTATGAAAAGTTAGAACCAGGATCTGCTTACCTTAAAAAATAGTGACTAGAATTTAATTTTAAGAATAGAAATCAGTGCCCTTTTTTTTTCATTTTCACCTTAATTCCCTTTCATAATTCTTGAGGTGTATATTATTACGAAAATATTTTGTAAAGACATCACCCACAATAAAGGAAAGTGTTTTGTGAACTTTAAATAGGATCTTATTGGCATCTAATAGGAAAGCAATTGAGTTGGAGTTTTCAGGGAACTTCTTCATTTTTTTAAATTAAATTTAAAAATTCTGTTTCTGATTCTATTATCATTAATTTTCTAAGTTGTTTGCATCAAATCTGTTCTCTGTAATCTGTTTATCCAAGGGTGTCAGCATGGCCCTCTTTCCCTGTTCAGTTAGTTGCTCATTGACCACACTGCCCTACTGACTCCTCCCACCCTTAGTAATAGGACACACCCCTACCTTGCAATGCTGTCCTTCACTGTATCCAACGTGAAACCTTGAGGCCTTTCCACCAAGTCTGCTATCTCTCTCCTATATATTCTATGTTCATTTGTATAAAATAACCCAGTAAAGTGTCTCTCCTGGCACATAGCAGGTACTTAATAAATTTTTTTTCATTCATTCTAGCCCCCAGCCTCATCTCATGTTAGTTATCCTCTACCACTTTGGTCTACCCAAGTATTATCTCCTGTTCAAGATGTAGACATGAAGTTTTTTCTAGTAATTTATTCCAGTAAAGAAGAATCTTTAATTTCTTGGAGCCATTATGCTTCTAATAGGTGCCACCCAGCATGTTGGTTTTCTTGGACCAGAAAGCCTCTTGTGACAGATGTCTTGTTTTGTTTTCTGTCTTTCCTATTTACCCCAGCACTAAGCTGCTCAGTGTTTGGCAGGCGCTAAGGAAATGCCTATTGTATGATTAACAGAAATTTCATATTCTTTTCAAAGGAAAAAATTCATAGTAAGCCTGGGTATTACTTGGATGGATTTGTTGGGAAATTAAGTGCAAGATGAAATAAGGACAAACTGTCTACCTCTCTTTTGTGTCCTTAGAATCTCATTCTGTTTACTGAGGCCAAGATTATCTAGAGTTCAGGTCCACTCTTGAGAAGACCATCCACTGGTCACACTTCTGAGGCCTTTGATTTTTTTATATGCTTTTTTGGTTCAGGCTCTTCAGAAGAGAGTTAGGATAAAGAAAGCAATGAAAAATCTGATCGTTGCTTAACCAGATTATACAACTGTTATAAACCTACAGAATAGCACTTCATCAGTAACATTTTTGTTTTCCTGAAGTAAGTTTTAATACTTGTAACATTTTGAAAAAAATTATTAAACTCCATTTCTATGACCTCCAGTTTTTATTTTCTATGGCTCAAAATACCTTTTATTTCTCTAATAATGGACATGATGGTTATAACAAGTGAGCTAACTGATATTTCTTCTGGTTCCCATATTTTAGAATTACAGGCTTCAGATCTGTTTTGGGGGTTAAATTCAAATTCAGATTTAAGGCTTGATCATTCTGTTCAAGATATATTCTGAAATTACTGTGTTGAAGGTAAAATGATAAAGCTTACCCCAACTGTGGCCTTTGACAGCCAGTAGAATGTGGCCTTTCAAAAATACTAAAAATTAGGACTTTCATCAGCTCTTTAGCTGAAAACTTATGCTGAAGAACATGACATGTCACTCTTTGGGATATTAATGTGTTAGAAGGTTTAAAATTCTATTATATACTGCTTTTCTTGTCCTTTGTTGGTTTCATATCTAATTCTTATTTCTCTAAGTGAGTCATTTGTTTTCTCTGTTTAATCAGATATGCGTATAGAGTATGTCTTTACTTGTCCTCTATTTGGAACCCCAGACAGAGCTCATATTGAACTGACCTGGATTATAGGTTATGGGCGAGCTTTTAGATTGAACTCATTTTAGTATACAACCCGTGAGGCAAGTACTATTGTTACTTTCTGTGCACCCATCAGTGGATTACTTGGCCTTTCTGGGCCTTATTTTCCCCATTGTAAAATGAAGATAGTAAAAGTATTTGACAGTTTATAGATGAGGAAAGTGAGACACTAGCCTACAGTCATGTTTACTCCACATACTGTTTATCTTTTCTAATGTATGAAGAATACAAATGTACTCACTGCTGAGATAGAAGATGTTTCTAGATAAGCGTATCTGAGCTATCTTTAGTCAGCTTGACTGCTTCCCCAACTATGATCTGCTAAGGAGACCTGGATCATAAGATAGCCAATTATAACTTTGGTCCTAAGTTATATACAAAATTGGAATTTTTCTAAAGCTGATGGCCACCAAATCTTAATGATATAAAGAGTATTATCAGCCCAACCAATTTAATCGTTAATTCTGGACAAAACCTCATTAACAACTAATTATCAGTCATGTCCCATTTAAAATAAATTGTCATATTTATTATTTGTCTAACCTTGCATGCAGAAAGGCAACATATAAGTAAGTGATTGGGTAGCAGTGTGGAAAATTCCCTTGTTCTGAAGTAAAGCCTGTCAATTTTAAGGTCTTTTGTTCTAAATTTTGTATTGCTACTAACATTTATATATATCTCTGAAAGATAGTTATTGGGGAATTATTGTTTAATGGGTTGGAGTTTCAGTTTAGGAAGAAAAAGATGGATGGTGGCAATGATTGCACAACAGTGTGAAGGTAATGAATGCCACTGAACTGTACAGTTAAAAAGGGTTAAAGTAATAATTTTTGTGTTATATTTATTTCAACCACACTAGAAGAAAAGTTTTTTAAGATTAAAAATGGTAATTATTTCACTGAGGCCTAGGAGCGTGAAGGTTGTCAGCTTGTCTGATTTGCTGCTGGTTTTGAATAATAAGAGCTAGCAAAGAGAACGCAGTTAGGTTTGTGAAGCTGTCCTGGTGTAGCAGAAGATGGCCAACTCAAGCCAGCCTGAGTTTATGTACTGACTATCACATACTCGCTGTGCGACCTTCAGTGAGTGCATTGACCTTTCTAGGTCTCATTGTCTCCATTGTAAAATGAAGATAATAATATTACTTATTTCATAGAATTATTGTGAGGATTAAATGTGATGTAATTTATGTAAATAGAAATGTAAATGTAATCATAAATTGAGTATTTATTTTTGTTTTGTTTTAAAGGTAAAAGAAATAGGAGATTACTTTAAACACCACCTCTTACAGTCCAGGCACAGAGGAGCATTTGAACTGGCTTATACTGGCTTTGTAAAACTCACTGAAGTTCTAAACAGGTAAATAAAACAGATATCCTTTTGTCGATATTTTAAAAAGACTAAGTGTACAAACCATGTGTTAGAAGTAGAATTTAGTTGTGTCTTTTGATGTTTGAAAGAATAAGACTTAGTTGGCTTCGAAACTCTCAGAAGAACTTGTTTTCTTAGGTTTCATTATATGATTTACTGCAGATTGAAGTGAACCATCCAAACCAAGTTGCTCTCTCATTGAAAGGTGATTTGACATGAACTCAAAGATTTTGCTAAAAATAGCTTTGAAGTTACCATTTCTTTTCATTGAATGAAATGGCTGTTTTGTCTGTTTGAAGTTACTTGGCATTTGGAATAAAATAAGCCCTCCAGTTTTTTTGGATTTATGTATGTAGCAGACAGAGAAACACTTAAGAATTTTATATTTTTCTTTATAATTTTAAAAGAAATTTTTAGAAAATTTTAAAAGAACAGTAAATAGATTGAAAAGTATAGAAGATTATTTCCCCTTTACATGGAAAACTACTTAGATGGATTTCATGTATTTAGCCAAATGTATTTTTTTACACATTACAGGTGCTGATAATTTCATTCATATAATAGATTTCCTCCAAAGAGCTTGTGAGGAAACCTTAAATTACTTAATGACTAAGTGTTCATGGCAAGTGTTCTCTAAATAAAAGGTAGTATTTTCCAGGAAAACATTTCCATTGCCTGGAAACTTTTTGAAATGAAGCAGAGTTCTGCCAGCCTTGTAGCCTCAGCAAACATTTTATTTTGGGCTGTTAAGACATCTACTTGAATGTTTTTGAAATGTTTTTTTCACACTCCTGGTAAAAACATTTATAAAACATTTTGGCAATTATGAGCTGAACAGAATATCTTTAAATGATATATTAAAATATGTCGCTGACATTAGCCTGCTGATCTTGAAAATATTTTATCTTTTCAACCCTTCTTTCCAGTGTAGATATGACTAAGGAGTATTTTTTCTCACAACACAACATACTTCACTCCCTTCAAATTTATTATCAAATATATATTGGGCACTAGCTGTGTGCTTAGGACTGTGCTTGGTTTGGAGGATATAATATGTCTTTATAAGACAAGGTTCCTGTTCACAAAAAGTTTGTGGTTTAGGTTGGGAAATCAGCAGGGATGAATTTCAAAATATTTAATAACTGTTATGTCATGGGCACTGACTGGTTAGAACAGACACTGACTGTAAGCTCCTAATATTGCTGCTGTATGTACCTTGTGTGGTAGCTGAATGACAGCCTGGAAAGTGAGACCAACACATTTGAACAAGAGGAGCAGTCCAGTGTAATTGCCAAACTTTGGGTGAAGTTTACAAATTCTGTAGGCATAGCAAAGAGAGAAGCAGTAGGGATGGGTTGGTGTAGGGCCTAATGGAGGATGTATAATTTGTGCTAATGCATGAGTAAGTTGTAAGTAGATAGGAAGAGAAAGGAGGGAACTTTGCTGAGCAAGTAAATGTTCAGAGGCTCAAATGAGCATGGCATATTGTCAGGAGAGTAAATAGTCATCCATATTGTAGCGGTGGTGGTGGTGGTGGAGTAAGTGGGCAATACCGTACAACTGGATAGATTGAGGCCAAATTATTATACCTAGGAAATAGGTTTGTTGTATGAGGGATGGAGAGGCAATGAACCTTTGATCTGAAATAGATCATAGGAGGCATTGTAGAATAGTGAAATAGCAGCAATCTATGACACAAGCTCTTGGTTCTGTTTATATCCATTCCATTTATTGGCATTGAGATTGTGTACAATAGTTCATCTCCTTAGCCTCTCATCTCTTCATCTCTAATGACGAATACCTCATGCTTTTGTTGTATGAATCAAGTAAGCCAAATATTTATGAAGACCCTTTTGCATTATACAGCTTTCATGAAGGTCAAAATAAACATCATGAGATTGATGTTGATTGCGGTGTTAGTATGTAAAAGTAGTTTTTTGGTTGGGAGTTGTAACTCTGGGGGAAAAATACATTTGAAACTGAAATCAGTCAAAGGGAGAAATAAAGTGGGAGAAGCCCATTTATTGCCTACAAGAAGTTGTCCACTTCTGCTTGCCTGTGTCTGTCATGACCCAGCTGCAGAAAAAGAGACCCCACCCAACCTCACCAGTGCAGACATGCCCTCTCTCCCCCATGTAATTACCTATTGATATGGAGATGGACTACTTCTTTCCACCCCTTGGAAACACCTATTGATATGGAGATGCACTAAGGCCAGGCAAGAGATTCTGGAAACGTTGCAGTTTTGCCCACAGCCCACCCCTCCAGAAATCTCACCTCACAATCTACTCATTCCCCATCTTCCACAGTGGCCCCTGTGTGAGAAAACTGTAATGATACTAATAACATGCAATAACAATATGATAATCCTCAAGTCAGAGGATTCAGCTAGGTTCAAAGTCCTATGCAGATTAAGTACAGAGCTCACCCATTCCACAGGCAGTCAGTAGCTGAACAGGTTGGGAGTTCAGAGCAATCATCACTTGGCAGCTGCAGCCAGGGGGTGGGTCCAGACCACAGGGACTGTAGAAGAAAATAACCTGAAGGGAGATAAGATACATGTTTTAATGACACCAGCATAGGCAAATCTTGTCTATCAGGTGGGATGCATGCAAGAGAGTGGTCCTGTGATAGGAGGGTGGTAGGAATGGGATCTTGCCCTGGTCTAGTGTCCAGACTTCACTCCCCTCCCTGTGGGAGTTACAGGTGGGTCAATATATAGGGCTATGGGAGGTACATGCACTGGCCATAAAGACAAAACAAAACTTTCCTGTAAGATGCTCTTACTTCTTGGATATTTTGGGTACACTACTGTGATATTTTGGGGCCACTATGCTGTTACTCCAGGAACACACAGGAGGCCAGCTTGCAGGCCTTTTCCCCAAGGTGCCAGAGGGGCCAGTAATCACTAGCTGGCCATGTGTCAAAATGTCCAGGGCTATGTCCACTCAACAGAGTCTCCAGGGTTTAAAGCAGTTGGGGCTGGCAGCAGGATGTTGCTGTGCTGACCATATGCTGGCTTCAATAACTCTTCTTTGGTGTGCACATACACTTGTATAGGAGAGACAGCAATGTGTATTAGCATGTCCACAGGGATCAAGGTTCCTTTTCAGGGCTTCTCATTTAAATGAATTAGCACTGTCCTTAAGCAAACTGACCAGCCCCATAGACTATTGCTGTTTGACTTAAGGCCAGATTTCAACAAATCATTGTAATTCTTTAACATACTTGCCCCAGTAGGGTTATATGGTATATGAAACTTCCACTTAATTGTGGCACCCATTCTTGTAATGCATGTCCAGTAAAGTGGGTACCTTGATTGCTCTCAATCACCTGTAGCTGGCCATAGGCTTCAACGAGATGTTCTAGGCCCCTTTTAGTTGTTTGCTGATCTGCATGATGTGCAGGAAAAGCAACCAATAATCCAGTAGCTGTTTCCACACAAGTTATGGCATACCGATATCCTTCTGGTATGAGCAGAGGCCCAATATAGCCTCTCTAGCACCTGACAAGGGGTATCAGCCCCTTTACTATTAATTGTCCCATGTTGCTGTGAATGTAAGTCCCTCTTTGAGCACACAAGGCACTCCTTCCAGGCTCTGTTGACTTCTTCAAAGGTCAACAGCAAGCCCCACTGATGGGCTACAGCCCACATTGTTTTTTGCCCCATGTGCAACAAACGCTGATGTAAGCATTGGGCTACATCAGAGGGAGGCTTTCCTTCTAGCCAAAGCACCTGGGCCAGTGTGTCTGCTGCTTCATTCCCTGGGGATGCCAAAGGCAAATGGCCAGTCACATGATATATAATAACTCTCTTAGTCTGACCAGAGTGCCATAGGTTTTGCCATAACTCTTGTCCCCAAAAGGGGCCAGTGACCAACCATTCAGCTGGCAAGGTACCATGTCAGTAGGCATCAGGTCAAGCCCTGATAGACATCCCAACTGTCAGTGTAGACAACTATAGGGGAAGGCTCCTGGGTGATTACGAGCCATACTGCCTGCAACTCAACCCATTGATTGCTCTTCCCCTCTCCATCCTCCATCCATATTGTCTCAGCTTAGGATGGAAAGCCACAGCCCTCCACTTTAGGAGCTGCCCCTGACTGTATGCCAGGCATCTTCAGGTATCTATCAGGGGCTTTTCCCTCCTGATAAGGACTCTAGGCTACCAGGGGCTCTAAAGCAAGTTCTTCCTGCTTTCCACTGGTATACGTCACTGGCCTCAATAAGCATTGGAGTTCTCCACTTAAGGGGCTAGTAGAGAGGGTGCTACACTGCTGTAAGTATGCACCCCATTTGACCAATGTAGGCATCTTTGTCATGCCACTCTGTGGCCTTTGGGTCCAGTCTCTCATCCACACCGTGATGGAATAGGTGGTTACTATCTTGGTTGGAGCTGTTCTGGTGATGGGCTCTGAAGCTGAGCAAGGCATGGTATACAGCAGCCAGTTGCTTCTCTGTGAAGGTGTACAGGATCTCTGCTCCTTTCCATAATTGTGACCAGAATCCAATAGGTTGGTGTGTCCATTTAAGCTGCTGCCAAAGGCTCCATCCATAATCATCTTGGAAGGCTTTCCTTCTAGCCAAAGCACCTGGGCCAGTGTGTCTGCTGCTTTATTCCCTATGGGTTGTCCTATGAGGGGGGCAAGAATAGTCACTAGGGACCCAAAGAGAGATGGGGGAGCTGCATAGAGCACCAGATTTCTCATTCCTATGGTGAACAACTCCTCATTGGGATCCTGGGGGCCCATATTGTACATGATATTTTTTATGCCCGACTCCCATAACACCATGTGGCTTCTGGTACTCACCACATCCCTAGCTCACAGGGCCTTGATGAGTCCATTACACTGAATGCTGTACAGCCTTGACTGCTCACTTAGCAGCTGCATGTTTCATTCTAGTCCCACCTGATGCCCTTTTGTACCAACTGGTGCAAGGGCTTCAGAATTTGTGCCAAGTACAGGATAAACAGTAGCCCAAAAGAC